GAGCAAGCATCTGAATACGATAAGCATTTGAACATGATAAGCACTTCCTATGTAACATAGACCTTTCACATGATATTTTTTAGCCTGGTTTCATGTAATTATATTAGGCTTGCTTAACAGCATTTTACTGTCTTTTCGTCGCGTTTTGAGCTGAAAATTTAGACGCTTGATGAATATTTCAATGTGCTTTTAAACATTTTTCCGGCAAATGATGGCTGTGAAGTTTTGTTGTTCACACTGCAAGGTCGTTTCCTTGATAATGCAGCTAATAATTTCAATGTGAATAGGTCTCTGTCGTAATTATGCATGCACCAATCAAGCAAAGATTAATGCTTAACTGATTTAATTGTCAAGTGTGTATAAGGCTGTATCAAACATGCATTAAAGACTAAAACTAAACTGATTTTATGGATAGAAAATGTGAATAAGGCTCTGCCTATATGTTGCACGCATAAATCAAGCTACGTTTAAAACTAAACTGATTTAACCGAGAATGTGAACAGTGCTCTGTCTATATTGTGCATGCATTAATTTAGATTAGTTGCAATCTTGACTGATTTAAAGGACAGTTTGAACACTGCTCTGTCTACATGTATATTGTGCATGCATTCATCATGCAAGCTCATTTAGAACTTAACCAATTTAAAGCATAATATGAACAGGGCTCTATAGCTATTGAGTACATCATGTATCAAAATTGAACCTCAGGTAACATGGGCTCAAGCCTTGACCATAACTGTAATTGTGAACGCAGCATGTATCAACGGCAATTTTCACTCATGAAGTGTTAATGAGTTATTAGTACACTTAATATTAGATTAAATGTATGATATGAACATCTAATCTTGTTGAATTGATTTGTTTTTGCAACATAAAATATTTTACATTTCAAATAATCAAGCGCAATTTTTCAATTTACATGGAATATTGTGAGCCGCCATTTTTTTTCACTGTTGTCTGAATTTAGGAACCAATTTTGTGTATTTTCCTCATATTTGTTGTTCTTTTACATAGGTCACATAGCTTTGTTCAATATGATGTCACCATGCGCTTGTACAGAGTTTATTTTGGTGTCTACCTGTAGCAATACTAACCAACCAAAACTTATCTGTTAACCCCGAACAGCTGTCATTATTATGTTGATGTTTTTCCTGTTATTGGTGACAATTTTATATGTAAGACTATGTTCGATTTATGCGCTTTATTTCAAATGACTTTAGCTAATTCCTTGAACCATGTTTTCCCCGTAATAAAATGACATACATGCAAGAGTAAGTTGAGCTTGTTCTTGGTGCACTTTTTCTGCTATTTTGCGAATATCAATGGGAGATCGAGGATAACTAAGCAGAGATATTTAGAGAGAGAGAGAGAGAGAGAGAGAGGGAGAGAGAGCCTGAGAGAGAGAGAGATCAAGCTATTTGTATTTTGCTGGGACTGAATTAAAGCTAGAGATAGCTAGAGACAGAGACAGACAGCTAAAGTACGTGAAAATGGGAAAAACATTCATATAGAAATAATAAATTAGACCCTATAACTAACTAATTAGATTCTGATAAAAAGTATTGGGCCAATTATATATTTCGTTGATATAACTTTTGTATCTGGACAGTTAGATATAAAATGGCAATTTAAAGAAGTTTACAAGTAATATTTCATAAATCTTCTCAGACTTAAGTTGGACAGTACAGGAGACAAATATTAATCATGGTTTGTGCTGTACTATACTTGATGAATATTTTCCATTAAATTCGGAGGCCATTAAGTGTCTGGAAACCCAAACTCCCCATTGATATGAAGAATAAAGATAGTCTACGTGGCGTTCGTCAAAACCCATATAGACATATGTCTAAATCCTTGGACATCCCATTGAAACGTGTGAAATACGCGTTTGTAATCATGGATGTCCACGAAAGTACGACGACATGTCAGCGGAATACGGACAATACATGTACGCATAAGAACGAACGTACGTGACACGGTGCGCTACGTTTATATATCCGACATAAGAATCAATATGTGGGGCCTGTAGCTATAGTTCGTAGGAGATGGTTCTTATTTGTTCGCTTTTTCAACGATTTTATTGATCAAAATGAATAGCAATCCTTCTGGATTTAATAGATTAATAATAATTCGAGTTTTGATAGTAATTTGCTTGGCATTATAAATATTTATTCAAATATAGCCAATGTGAACTGTAAATTTAACTATATTAACCTAAAAAGTGACGAGTTGTTATCCAATTCCTTGGTAGTATAGTGGTAAGTATCTCCGCCTGTCACGCGGAAGACCGGGGTTCGATTCCCCGCCAAGGAGGATTACTTTTTGTTTTTACTCTGTCAAAAAATTATTTCTTTCATAAAAGTTGCTCCTGACAAAGTCCTCATGCTAACTCATCAATATCAGAAAAATACATATACAGTCAAACCTACCTTATTGACCACAAGTCATGTCTACATGTTTCCCTTGAAAATGGTTTCTCATATTGAAACATGTACTAAAGGAACCTGTCTACAAAGACCACTTTTTGTGTTTCTTTTGGGCAGTCGCTGTAGACAGGTTTGACTGTATAAGAGATTGATCTATTTGACCGTATCCGTACACCGACCCCCTGGACATCCAACCCCCCAGAACCATCCTCAGTCAACTATACCCCCTAGGCAACTCCATCCCCCTGGCCCCCCGGACAACTACTCCCTAAGACAAATTTTTGTCTCTCTCTTTTCTATGTTAATTGAGAGCTGAGTTGATATCGAGATAGCCACCTGTCAGTGCATGTTTGGTCCCTCCTGGCCAAACTAGTAGCCTAATGACGGGCTTTAAAATTATTGTAATAAAATGGGATATGGCCTGTAATTATAGAGGCCTATATGCAGGGCGGCCGAGCGACTTCCAAAGTGGGGGGGGGGGGTACCAAGAAAAAAGGGTACTTTCTGGAGAAAAAAAGGGCACCTACAAAGGGAAATCTCAAAGCGAAAATATACCATGTTTATAGACATTGGTATATACCCCTACACTGTGATTACATTATCAGGGATGATATCAATATTTGTTTCACTTTATGCATCATACAAGATATTGCTTAAGCATCATAATTTGCAGCTGTGTGTGATGGTCTAAAAATTCATTTGCGAGCGAGAAAAAAGTTTAAGATTTGTGAGGTCGCAGTGCGAAAAATTACATCTTATAAAGAGGAAAAAACAATCCTGATGGGGTTATTTGCACATTCTCATAACGGAAGACTGAAATGACCTTTGATAATTAGTAAATAATTATATCATTTATACATGCGAGCGAGCGAAGCGAGCCAGCTTTGGGGGAAATTGCTATTAGTCGCGTGAAATTAGGGGCACGTTTAATGATGAGAGGAAAAGGGGACATTTATCAGAAAAGAAAAGGAGCATGTGTCAAAGTCCAAAGAGTAATTATAAGAGGTGAAAATGGGGCACTTAATCTTACACCTTCAAAAAGAGGCACTTACTAGGGATGAAAGAAGTCAGTCATGAGAATAGGAAATGGGCATTTGTCGACGGAAAAGGGGCCCCAATCAGATTTTGATAGTGGCATTTATAAGAGGTGAAAAGGGCATTCATGAAAAAGTGATAGGTTCCGTATTAGAAAGGATAAGGGGCATGTATCATTGTTAAAAGGGAAATTATCAGAGGTGAAAAAAGCGCTTATCGCACCTGAAATTGAGCACCGTCCAGATATGAAAAGGGGCACTTATGTGAATGAAAAAGGGACACTTATGTGAATGAAAAGTTAGGAGTAACTTCTCGTACCTGAAAAGGGTCATTTACCAGAGATGAAAAGGGGAATTTATGAGAAGGGGCTCTTTTTTAAAAGGGCACTTTTTATTAGGAAACGGGGTACTTATTAGAAAGGTAAAGGGGCACATAAGGTGAGCTTCTCCGAGTTAGAATGGGGGTAGTCATTAAGAGGGGAAGGGGCAATTCTTACAAAGGAAAATGGGCTCATGTCACAGTAAAAGAGGCACCTCTCACATTTAAATGGGGCAATTATCAAAGGTGAAGGGGGCACTTATCAAAAGTGAAAAAAGGGAACTTCTCTTAACTTAAAAGGGGCACTTACTATAGAAATTTAGAAGGGCACTTATGAGAATGGAAAATGGACACATTTTGCAAAGGGAAATGGGAACTTGTCGAAAGAAAGGGGGTACGTGTTGAAATAAAAGGGCACTTATCAGAGGTGAAAAGGGGAAGGGGCACTTTTACAATTAAAAGGGGCACCATTCCTATGTAAAAAGGGGGCACTTCTTACAAAGTTAACGGGGAACACTTCCTATGTAAAAAGGGGCACTTTTCGTGTGCTAGCTTGAAAAAGTGGGGGGGGGGGGCACTGTGCCCCCCACCCCCCCCCGGATGGCCGCCTCTGCCTATATGTAGGCCTACCGGCCATCAGAACTCGTCCAAACTTTGAATTGTACTCGCACCATCAAGTTTTATATTCATCTTTAAATTCCATTTTACAGAAATTCCAGCGATGACGTTTTTCGTCCATTTTGTAAATGTCATACCCCAAACCTTTCTTTTAAATGTGCTTTAACAATCTCAAAACAGCCAATAATGTCATAATACTGGATCCGATTTGGAATTCTTGTGTACGTTCGAGGGCGATCCCGACGAAGGGTAGTTTAAAGAAACTCTATAAATTTCGTTTTCGTTCAGGATATTGTTGGTATAAGAAAAAGAAGAATTAAGATGAAAAAGAATTAGAAGAAGAAAAGATGGCGGGCCGAAGAAGAAAAAGGAAGAAGAAGAAGAAGAAAAAAAAGAGAAAAGGAAGGATGAAGATGGTGATGAAGAAGATAAAGAAGAAGAATAAAGAAGGAGGCGGAGGAGTGAAATGAAGATGAGGAGGGGGATTTGGATCGAGGAGGAGCTGGGAGGAAGATCTGGGAGGAGAAGATCCGTGAGAAGATGAACTCAAGCCACATAATTATGACTCACGCTAGCTTACGTTGTTCAATGTGCATATCCAACGGTAGATGGCGTCATCACGAAAAAGTGAAAAAGCGATTTGTGTACCACTCGATTTCTACACAAAGCAGTGATTAAAGCTGTAGAAACTCATTTTTAGCCACGAGAACACCAGTCAAGGCGATTGATAGGTAAGTACAAAACACTATGATTCGAAATGATTGCGTTGTTATTTGAAATTATTTAGTATTGATACAATCCTGGATTATTTTGTGGAGTGATTTCTTTGTGTACAAAGTACTTGCTATTGAAAAGTGTAGTCCCGCACGTTGATAAATGTGTTGGAAACAAAGCCATTGACCTTTGTTTCAATTTTAAAAGAAGAGTGCGACATGATTAACCCCAAAAAGATTAAAAAGATAAGACATCGTCTATTGATTCCCCAAAATATTAAACAACACAATTAAAAAACTCATTAATTCCCAGAATTCACTTAAAATTGGCATTAAAAAAATTTGAATTTTAGCAGTAAAAATGCAATCAAAATCGACACCGGTCATGTCACCAGCGTTGTGCGTCATTGTCACTGAAAAGACTGAAGTTGGAAACAAATATTTTGAAAATTATAATCGGAAATCTATCTGAAATCCTGGGGAGGTTCCACTATAGATCTAGTCAGTGTAAAATAACAAATCGTCCACCACTAGATCGATCGTCACCAAAGCGCAGCGCTTCAAAATCACCCTGCAAATCACGCTTGGTTCAGCGCATGCAAATTAGTGAAAGTCAAAAACAAGCTGCTGAATCAATCTTCACTATAAGTCTCATTACCATATGCACTGCAGTATGACAGAGAAGAAGAATAGCGATTTCAGCAAACATTGTATTGTTGCTGGTGGGTTGTTTTTACCCTACTTCTGAAAGCCTGTGTACAGTGTAGGTTTTTATTAAGCAATCAGGGTAGCGATTTACACAACCATCATATGTAGCCTACATGTTTGCCAACAACCCATTGAAATATAGTGTTTAATAACTATTGTGTACTTCCTTTCCATTCCTTTCTTTACTTAATGTATCCATCTCTCTCTTCTTCTCCATCATTTTCTCTCCTTTCTTTCCTTAATCATCTCTCTCTTCTTCCTCTGTATCCCTCTCTCCTTCCCTATCTTTCTCTTACTCTTCCCTATCCCCTCTACACTTCTTTCTCTTCCTCTCCATCACTCTCTCTTCTTTCTCTGTATTCCTCTCCCCTTCTTTCTTTCCTTAACAATTACTATTTTATTCTGTAACCCTCTTCATTTCTTTCTCTCCTTACCCATCTTTCTCTTCTTCCTCGGTATATCCCTCTCCCATTCCTTCTCTCTATCCCCATCTCTCTCTTATTCATCTGCATCTTTCTCCCTTCTTTCTCTCCTTCCCAATTTCTATCTTCTTCCTCTGTATCTCTCTTCCATCTCTCATTCTCTCTCTCCCTCTCCCATCTCTCTCTCCCTCTTCCATCTCTCTCTCCCTCTTCTATCCCTATCCCTCTCCCCTTCTTTCTCTTCTTCTCCATCATTCTCAATTTTTATTTCATATATTCTTCTTTTATTCCACAGGTAAATAGAGATACCCATTCTACATCATCAGAATCAAGAATTCACACCACCTCCCCTTCCCCCTGTAAACACAACTCACCCAAGCTTCAAGTGCATCCAGACATCTGATCATGTGACAACACCGTTGAACTAACCTGGGGGATTGTGGGTAATTTATATTATTCTACAGACTGGCCTGAAAGTGTTGCAGGTAAGATATAAAAGTGACTGATTCTTATTCATTAAGTTGTAATTTGAATATAGCACCATTTTCCCTGGATATAAAGCATTTTGATATACCATCCATGAGTCAGTTAACCCTGTAAGTTAGGGCTTTGATCGGATCGAAAGATTGTACGACGCCCTTGCACCTTTCATCAGTATCAGCAAAAAGTTCTTTGTATTTTTTAATTAATTATTTTTTACTGTTGTTTTTGAGCACTCTGATACTTAAATCACTCATACCTTGGATAATTCTCTCACTTTAAGTTGTTGTAGTTCATGTTTAAAACTTTCAAACAATTTCATGCCGTTAAATGTAAAAAATTGAAAATGATCGGGGAAAAAAAAAAGAAACGCTGAAAATATTCAAGTTAGATTACTTAGATGGCGATAAAAAAAATGCGTGCCTAAAAAAAATGCCTACATTATATTCCAAAATGGCAGCTCGCATGTTTTGCCTCTTCTCTTAGTCATGAAAATGCACTTGATTTCAACAAACATGGTCTACACTCTACAAGGACTCAAAATGACAAAATAATCCCAGCTATGCATTTTTTTTATAGTATTTGATAGCCCAAAACTTATTTTCTGTATTTTTTTTTTTTTTCTCTTCAGATCATTTTCTGATCATTTTTATTGATCGGCGATCGGAATTCATATCCGATTTCACTTAATTGGCCCTCGATCTGATTTTCGGTCTAGGTTAGAGTCATGGCTAGAGTTAAAATATATACAAGTTACCAAGCAGTGACAGTGTGAGTTCAATGAATGAATATGGTTTCAAACTATGTCTGATTTGCTGTACTGTTGCTGATGATTTAGTATTGCATTATAAGTACATTGTCTATTCAGAACCAGAATTGTGTTAACCCTGTATTAATAATAATAATAATAGTGGGTTCTGGTATAGCGCTCATGTCAGTCAGATTTGACCCTCCTGGCGCTCCCGATTATTACCCTGGCTTTAGCACGGCTGCCATACGGTGCTCTAGCATTTCAAGGAATAAATTCCTACCAGGTACCCATTTACTTCACCTGGGTGGAGTGTGGCAAATGTAGATCAATGTCTTGCCAAAGGACATTAGTGCGGACGTTGTGATCGACAGTCCGGCGACGTATCCACTCGAACACAATACATGTACTATGTACAAGGTTATATCCTTATGGCTTCAAACAGCTTATATCTAAGCTATTAACCGTATGGTTTTAAACATATGTTGATCTTTACAATGTTCAAATAAAGAGATCAGCAGTTCTACTGGTAGGTCATAGTATAACGTTGTCTGTGTGAAAATTGATTATTGTGTGTTGATCACCACAAGTTTAACCATGATTAAAATTAAAAATCTTTTTACTATTTGTTCAATATTCAGTATTCTATTCAATATTTCCACATTTAATTTATGTTATTTATGTATATTTTTAGTCTATATTTATGTCAACTTCTTTTTGGAGGTACTCTGTTTAAATCTTAAAGAGAAGTTTCGTTGATTAAAAAAGCTAACTTTAATGTCATTATTGCAAAGGTGACACTTTGATTGGCCAAGGTTATCAAAAGTCAATGCTTGGAAACATTTGAAGTAATGATTATTAACAACTACAAAACGCTTAGATACAGCCCCGACATAGCACCTGAAAAGCTCCCCGGTCGCTGCTGAGATTGATGTCACATGTTAAACATGATGTGCACAAGCAGACGATGTCCCATGACATCTCACACAATTTCAGTGCCTGTTTTGTCATCTTTTCTTCAGTTATTTCTCTTTCTTCAATACCCTCAGTCGAAATGTTTAATCTGTATGTATTGCCTCACTCTAAACCCCGTGAAGTGAATGGTATTATTTTGATGAAAAATGCAAGGATTTAAAAAAAAAGGAATCCGTAACTTGTAAACAAAATAAGACGCCATTGTATTTTCAGCTGCACACACCGCAGCATGCTCGGCGTTTCAAGAGGGAACAAATGACGTCCATGCTATCATTCCGGAGGTTTTTTTCAATTTGAAAGTGTGGTTTCTTTGATTGTTCATGAACCCATATCCTGTGTATTTACAAACAAAAGAATTTAGTTATCAGAATGGGGGTCATATTCCTTTTTGAATGGTGTAAAATTCCATCACATTTATATACACTAAACTCATTATAATTTGAGAAATAAAAGCATTGCAATTATGTCCATTCTTTATGGGATGTCGTCTGCTTGGGCAGGGTTGGTTCATATTGTGACGTCATTAAAACATCGTTATTTTTCCGGCAAATCTCTCGCATATCCCAGATGCTATAGAGGTTGTTTTATTTGTATTTTTATAAACCAACCGATATGCAGTTGACCTAAAACTTCCATGATGGCTATCTGTTAGCTTACCAGTTTCTAGTAATACGCTATTTTCCATATTTGTGATTTTCTATGAACCCGCACTTTAATTATGTTCATGTACTCTTAATGGCAATTTTCATTTAATGATAGTATGTGTTTTTCATGTACATTCTCAAGCGCCTTGAGCTTTTTTGCAGAAAAATATATGCCAGTTTACAATTACTCTTTATTATTACTATTTCAATGCCGAAATTCAAATTTTTAATCAAAATTTTATTCACTATTTGTTTTCCAGTCTTGATATCTATGGCCATTTAAACTATTTAAATTTTACGATGTCCTTCAATTCAAAACTTTATTTCCAATTATTTTAAAGAGCAAAATTATATTAAGTACATTTGTATGTACAAACAGTCAGTATAGCAAAACAAAAGGAATTAGGTTACTCAGAGTCCAGTACACAGTTGTGTATTTGTCATTGTTGTACTACAATAGTGACAAATGCACAACAAAATTATTTAAAAAAAAAAGAATATGAAAAGGAAAAGTGTTTGTACGTAAAAGGTATAGAAAAGATTTGTTTCATTTTCATTGTGCATCCAACATTAAACAAAACTTTCTTTTTGTATTTTTTGTCATAGCCCTCAAAATGCTGATGCGCCCCTTTAAGGAGAGCAGGATAGCGTGAACGAACAAGGAGGGGATGAAGATAACGAGAAAGAAGATGGCTGTTATTCGTCTCCACCGTAAGGTCGTCTATGCGGCCATTCTTCTCTTGCTCGTCCCGTGCCTGGTGCTCCTCTACTACAGCACTTCAGAACATGGCGGTAAGTCTGTATTTCTTAACCTTCTGCAAAGAGGCACTAATTTATCATCTTTTACTCTTATGTTTAAGAGAAAAATAAAAAAAAGTGAACCTAAGTGAATGAAAATTCACTTTGATCACAGCTTTGGGTATGTATTGAAATTTACATTTTTCTGAAAGTCTATGAATCAGCTTTCCCTCTTCGAATTGGCATCATTTATCCTCATCTTCGCACTTACATTTTGAGCATCCTCTAGAGGGTATGTGTGCAATGAAAATATAGCTTCAGTAAATTCTTCTTCTTCTTGTTCATTTTCTTCTTCTTGTTCATCATCTTGTTCATCATCTTCTTCTTCTTCTTCTCCTCCTTCTCCTTCTCCTTCTTCTCCTTCTCCTTCTCCTTCTCCTTCTCCTTCTCCTCCTCCTCCTCCTCCTCCTCCTCCTTCCCCTTCTCCTTCTCCCCTTCCCCTTCTTCTTCTTTCTCTTTTTCTTCTTTTTCTTGTTCTCCTTTTCCTTTTTCTTCTTCCTTTTTCTTCTTGTTCTTGTTCTTGACCTTGTCCTTGTTCCTGTTCTTGTTCTTCTTATCAATGTTATTGTTGTTATTATAATGACAAAACGTTGCTTTTATACAAATGTAATTATTGTTGTCCTTATTGCTTTCTTTCCATTTGCATCTGTAGAGGCATCAAGAGAGAGCAAGAACCTGCTTGGGTTCAACAGCAGAGAGGCCATCTTAGCAGACAGGGTCAAAGAGATGGAGCATGAGAACCAGATGCTACGCAGGCAGCTCAGGTAAACCCTTCTTCCTCAAAGTGGCAGCTCAAGTAAATCCTTGCAGGACAGGGATCTTTGGTTACTTTTTATTCTTCAAATTGGCAGCAATTGTATTTTTCTTTTAATGATTATTAGGTAATACATTTTGGGAAATTGATATATTGTTAGTCCTTCATTGTTAGTAATTTGAGGCAGCTCTGGTAAACATTGCGGAACAAAGATTTTTGGTCACCCTTTTTTCTGCAAATTGGCAGCAGTTGTATTTCTCTTTCCATGATTACTAGGAACTCCATTTTTGGGAAATTAATATATTGTTAGTCCTTCATTGTTAGTAATTTAAAGCAGCTGCTCAGGTAAACATTGCGGAACGGGGATTTTTGGTCACCCTTTCTTCTTTAAATTGGCAGCAATTTAATTTTCTTTCACTGATTACTAGGAACTACATTTTTGGGAAATTAATATATTGTTAGTCCTTCATTGTTAGTAATTTGAGGCAGCTCTGGTAAACCTTGCGGGGCAGGAATATTTAATCATCCTTTCTTCTGCAAATTGGCAGCTGTTGAATAAATTTCTCTTTCCATGATTACTATGAACTACACTTTTGGGAAATTAAAATATTGCTAGTAATTTGAGGCAGCTCTTGTAAACCTTGTCGTACAGGGACTCTCTTCTTCCAATTGACAGCAGTTGTAATTTCCTTTGAATAATTACTAGGAACTACATTTTGGGGAAATTAATGTATCAGTAGTCCATTATTCTTGGTGATTTGAGCCTCTGTCGTTAGGTTCAAGTGGGTTTCAACACCAAGGCCAGATCCTGCATCCTTCAGTGGACCAGGCATGTATAGTGCGTCCCAGAAAAACGAAACCGAGAATTATTGATGTTTTATCTTAACTTAATCACAATTATAATTGATACATGTAAATGACACATATTTGGAAAGCTTAGATCCTCCTCTTTCATGTGATGCAACTCGTATAATCCATATTTCACGCATGAGTGATTAAAATGAATTTGAAGAGAGAAAAACAAAAAAGTCATTTGGCGGACGGTATCTGAATTTGAAAGAGAAAATCACATTTCTAGAAAGTTGAGTTTCTGCCCTTTCATATGACACCTCAGTCAGTAAAAATGAGCTAGGAATAAAAGAGTTAGGTTTGTTTAAAGAGGAGGATCTAAGCTTTCCAAATATGTGTCATTTATCAATTATCATTGTGATTAAGTTGAAATAAAGCATCGATAGTTCTTGGTTTCATTTTTTCTGGGATGCACTGTATAGTGACTCAAGATAGAGAAGAATAGCTATTTCAACAAACATTGTATTTATGCTGGTTGGTTGGTTATTTTGACCCTAGTGCTGTGAAAGCATGGGCAGCGATTCACAAAACCTTCATACATGTTTGCCCACACCCCAATGAAACACTTGTTTAAAATTATTGCATGCCTGATAATAATTGTGTGCTTAAAGGTAAAGATCAGTTTTGGAAACGCCCCCCTCTTAAAAAATGTAATGAAAGCTCTTATTACCAATCATGTGAAAGAACATGTTTGGATTAATACGTGATCATACAAATTTTGCCGAGAAACCGCCTACTAATTGATATATTTGGTAAATTATTATATCTATTTGAACCTGATTGATATGACGCACATGTCGCGCACGTGTGCGTAGTCCCATATACATCTTTCTGTGTACAGTGCTTGTAACTTTACCAAGACTGGGCCAAATTTCTTTTCATTTTGATGATTCCAGAACCTTGCAGTACATACCAATACTTATATGCTAGATGATCGACCTTTTCTGATCGATTCCACAATGTTTCTTTCACAATGCAATCGCATGACCATAACTGGTCTTTATCTTTAAGAAAAAGAGTAATTGGATCAAATATTGGATTTTTGCTGGTTGGTGGATTTCTGGAATCTCTGGGAGTCTTTGATATTTTGTGTGTGCAATCAGAGCCATATTTTAGTTTTTCTAACAAATTTTAATGACCAATATTGCAGAAATAATTGGAAGAGAATGAACTTCAACCGGTTACTTGTTTTCAAACTTGTCAGTTTCAAATCTGCACGTTTCTCTGTTTCATGTTAAACCCCTATGTGGACCAACCATACCCTTGCAATTAGGATTTGCATTTTTTAGATTTAATTTTTCCTTCTTTTTACCCCAGTATTTCCCAGAGTCAACTGCAGCAGACGTATGAGACGTACCAGCAGGTCTTGGTCGAGAATAACAATGTTTCAGGCGACTCTGGCCCTCTAGAGATGAACCGATCTCTGCCTGTCAATTGCGTCAATGCAGACCCAATCCCGAAGTGTGAGGTAGGTTTAAAGCCCATCTGTACTAGTTTACAGGAGGTATTAGACCACCCTGCAAGGTCAATGGACAGGTGGTTATCTCATCAAATCAGCTCTCAATTAACATGAAATGATAAGAAATAGAGGATCATGGGGGACCAATTGCCACCTATTGGGCAATGTTTGTTATATAGAGGGCACAAGTAGCTATAAGTAGTGCAGTGGGGCTTTAATAGTTCACAGTTTTGTGAATTTTATAATACAGTCAAACCTGGATTAGCGACCACCTGTCTACAAAGACCAAATTTTTTGTTTCCTTTCGAGTTGGTTTCTCATGAAACATGTACTAAAGGAACCTGTACATGAAGACCACCTGCCTAGAAAGACCGCTTTTCTTGTCTCCCTTTGGTGGTCTTATAGACAGGTTTGACTGTAGTATGATATGTACCAGCATCAGATGGGCCAACCCGCTTCACTTTGAATTAATACACCAGTTTACGGTTACATCAGTGCGCATGCGCAGACAGGCTGGCCCCGGGTTATTGGCTTTGAAAAAAAGCCAATGACCTGAGGTCAGTGGTATTTATGCGTAAATTAAGATTGCACCCATGCAAATGATGATGAGCGCGCACAACGCAGTGCGTAGGCTGTGATATCATCATAATTTGCATGGGCGCAATCTTAATTTACGCATAAATACATGACCTCTAGGTCATTGGCTTTGTTTAAAATGGCGCACACAACCGTAAACTGGTCTATTATCATGATGGGATTCAAATCTATAATATAGTGAACATTAGAATCCTTAAATTGGCAACATATTGAATTAATTATAATGATGGGATTCAAATCAATAATAAAGATCAACATTAGAATCGTTAAATTGGCAACATATCAAGTCCCTCAATGACACTGCTTACTTTTTGTTCCTTTTTCTCATAACAGAGGATTCACGTTTCGATTGTTTGTGCTGGTCATAATGCTAGTCGTGGTGTCATCATCCTCGTCAAATCTTTCCTCTTCTCCTTGAATAATGCACTTTACCTTCAATTTATGATCATGACAGAGGATTAAACTTTATATTAAGACTTTGCATCAGAATCCCTCAATTGGCAACATACATAGCAGGTCAACTTCACTGTTTTTTCTCAATTTTTGTTCCCTTTTCTTTATAATCATAACAGAGGATTCACGTATCGATTGTTTGTGCCGGTCATAATGCTAGTCGTGATGTCATCATCCTCATCAAATCAATCCTCTTCTACCGGAAGAACCCTCTTCACTTTCACTTCATATCCGACGAGATGGGCCAGCTGATCCTCTCCACTCTCTTCAAGACGTGGGATGTACCTGGAGGTAGGCCACGCCCACTTTTGTTGTTGTTGTTTTTGTTGCTAAATGAACATGTTACATGAACGGGACTACATGAATGTGTGGTCCAAATGAATCAATTTGTTCTTTGTAAATTGTGTAAATAGTTCACAACCCTTTAGGAATTTTATTTGTCATATACCGGTATTATATATTTGAAGGGTGTTGTAACGATTCAAGCTCTATGCTTATGTTTCATCATCTCTGTGTGTTCATTCTTCAAACTGTATAATAGTTGCAAATTGTCTTTGATAACACATTGTTATATTATTTTTTTCATGTGAGTTCAATTCAAATGGATTGTAAAATTGAAAATGATTTGTTATATTATATTCTTTTTCATATGATGTTAACTCCAATGAATTGTGAAATTGTGAACATGCATAAATAAAATCAATAAATATATATACCGGTAGACAACCTTTATCTGTTGCTTTACCTATTCTGAATATGAGGGCACTTTATGAGGAACCACTTTTCAGGGGACATTTCTACGATGACATTCTGCCAAACTAGTATACAAAGAAAGAGAACGCTTAATTATTTTGACCAACCTTTAAAGAGAAGGCTGAGTTCTGGGAAGAGGTGATAAATAATTTATGGGCATTATAATTGTTATTATGCAAGTGTGGAAGAACATCAGATAAAATATGTTCCCTGAAAAGCATGGCTCTTCAAATGCTTTCATATTCTAAATATGGCATGTAAAAACAAATCGGGGCAGATTTTTATGCCACATGGTTGTGTAGCCCCATATACATCTTTCTGTGTACAGTGCTTGTAACTTTACGAAGACTTGGCCCAATTTCTTATCATTTTGATGATTCCAGAACCTTGCAGTACACACCAATACTTATATGCTAGATGATCAACCTTTTCTGATCCATTCCACACAGTTTCTTCCACAATGCTATTGCATGACCAGAACTCAACTTTATCTTTAAAACAGTGATCATTAGTACTGCAACATCTTTAAATGGCTTTGAGCAGGATGTTCCATAGTTTCATGATTTGCAGTTATTAAAATTAAAAGCAAGAATGAACAGAAAAACCAATTGTATAAAGGAAACTACAGTTTATATTGTTATTATTTTTCTCCTAATTTTTCCCTTTTCCCCCCTTACACCACTTTAGTCAAAGTGAGCTTCTACCTCGCAGAAAATTATAAGGTAAGATTTTTATTTGCATTAGCAGGATTAAGAAATTTCGGCCTCTTTTGATGAAGGTCTGATGGTGGAGGGGAGGGGAAAGGGAGAGTTGATTATTCAATGGACAGCAGTCAGGGGGAGGGGGGGGGGGGGGTCAGTACATAATGTGACAGAAATTGATCAATTACTGAGAGAACTTTGCTCTGTTTGTACTATAATCAAGAGAAACACTCTTGTACGATTCACCCAGCACCATAATTTTTTAGGTTACAATTAAAACATTTTTATTCGTGAATGGCACGATGTACTGCATTAGGATTTTTTTATTTATGTTCCTACAATGTGCATTCCATAGAATTCTTGATCAAAATACCTGAAAAGGAGTTAATTACAAGAGATTATAATTACTATACAGATAATAAGGCTTGAAAAGGCTTTGGAAAGGCATTAATTCTCATTACCAAGTCCCTCAGAGAAAACTTAAAGCCGTCCGCCCCCTTGTTGCTTACTTACAAGCAAACACATGCTTTCTTAGCAGTCAGGTAAAACAAACTAACCAACCATCCTCTATTTCTCTGTTAGTTATATTTTGTTATGTTTTGTTTTTACATTACAGAGTCACGTAGAGTGGATCCCTAACAAGCACTACTCAGGGCTGTATGGGTTAATGAAGTTGCTTCTTATTGAAATTTTACCATCAAATATGGAAAAGGTATGACATAGGAGATATATCTGGTCTCTTTCTTTTTCAGGTAGCCAGATTTCTCTGATATAAGGAAAGGGTACATATAAACATTGATACACTGTGTTTAAAAAAAAAACTTTTATTGTATGGAAAAGGTGTATAGAAATTGGAAAATATGACATCAGAATAAAGATAATGATATTTATCTTAGATATCTAGTCTCTTTCTTTGGCAGGTAGTCAGATTTCTTTGATATAAAGGTACACATAAATGTAGATGCATTGTGTTCTAAAAAAAAAAGAAAATTTCTGTTGTTCAAATATAAAAAAAGGTATGACATTAGAATAATGATAATGAGATATACATGTATCTTAGATATCTAGTCTCTTTCTTTGCCAAGTGGCCAGATTTCTCTGGTATAAGGAAAGGGTACATATAAACATTGATACATGGTGTTCTAAAAAGGAAAAATACTGTTGTTTTATATCATGCGTATTATGGAAATGCTTTGTTACCTGAGTGGTTATTTTTTGTTTAGTGCAGAGATATATTTTGGATACATGTTCATATTTCCATGTATAACATTGTCTGAACAGCAACAAACAAGTTATTTAGGACTCTCCTTGCAAGAACTGCTGGCTCTCAGGGGGGCTATACTATCTTCCCTTACCTTCAGGAACATAGTAGCCCTGAGATCACCTCTGCGACGATAGTTTGTCACATCTGCAGAGGAGTCGGTAATTATTTGCTTATTTTCCTTTTCCCTAGACGATAGTCCTAGACACAGACATCACCTTTGCCAGTGACATCGCTGAGCTCTGGGGTCTGTTCCAGAGAATGACTAGTAAGCAGACTCTGGCCCTGGTAGAGAACCAGAGTGATTGGTACCTTGGGACTCTCTGGAAGAAACACAAGCCCTGGCCTGCATTGGTAAGCAAAACCTTAGTCCTAGCCCTAACTTCAGAACAGAATATTTGTAGGTACCCTCGTAGAGAAGTATAGGATCTAGGTCCTAAGACCCTAGACCTAGCCCTGGTAGAAAACCAGAGCAGTTGGTTCTAGGAACTATGGGGAAGAAACTAAAGCTCTGGCCTGCATTAGTAAGAAGACAGTAGTCCAAGCCCTAGTAGAGAATCAACATTGTATTCGTAGGTATTCTTTCAAAGAAGCACCAAATCTGGCCTATATTGTTAAGCTAAATCCTAGAGATTCTAGTTCCCCTCTGAAGTAAGAATAGGCCTACATTGGTAAGCTTATCTCACAAACTGTTTTAAGATGACCTCTCACTTCACTCTTGTCTGTTTCAGGGTCGAGGGTTCAACACGGGGGTCATCTTGCTTGACCTTCAGAAGCTGCGTGACCTCAAGTGGATGCAGATGTGGCTGTTGACGGCCGAGAAGGAATTGATGAGTCAGTTCTCAACAGCACTAGCAGATCAGGTAGGATTACATGGGGATTTTGAAGATTTCATTGGGGGAGGGAGGGGGGGGGGGTGAAGGATGGGGAGTAGGAGTCATTGAGTTAGTTCTCTACAGCACTAGCAGATCAGGTAGGATTACATGGGGATTTTGAAGATTTCATTGGGGGAGGGCGGGGGGGGGGGGGGGTGAAGGATGGGGAGTAGGAGTCATTGAGTTAGTTCTCTACAGCATTAGTAGATTGGGAAGCAGGAGAGAAAGTTTTGAAGTATTTCATCGTGACAGAAGGGGGAGGAGAGGGGGGTAATGGATGCAGATGTGGCTGTTGACGGCAGAGAAGGAATTGATGAGTCTTTCCTCATTAGCACTAGCTGATCAGGTAGGAGAACGATATTGTGAAAAGTTAAAATAATAATGATTTGTAATATTGATTTTCGTATTGGTTATGGCTTGTTTCGCTTCCTTAAACTGCATCGTTTAGCTGTCTTCATGCATATATATATATATATATATAAATAAAATTAATTACCACTATACACATAGCGAATTCAGATTTTAAACTGAATTGAAGAATATTGGAATAAATCTGATTAACGTGAACATTTTATATTATTATCTGCTTGTTTAGGACATTATCAATGCAGTGATCAAGCAGCATCCTTACCTGGTCTATACCCTTCCCTGTGCTTGGAATGTGCAGCTCAGTGATAACACCAGGAGTGAGGTAAGCGTTACTTTTTTCTTATCTGTCTATATCTACTGTGAAAGCTGCTATATTTGTTAGGGTATGATGTTTGATGATGTTTGTTTTGCCTGACTACTTAAAAAGCATGTATATGAATGCTTGTAAGTAAACAACCAGGGGACCGATGGCTTTAAGTCCTCTCTAAAGGACTTGATAATGAGGTGTGATGCCTTACCAAAGGCCTTTGGCTTAGTTTCGAACCCGGGACCTCCCGTTCATAAAGAAACCACTGCTCTTCCACCGAGCCATTTGCCCATTTTTGGGGACATTTGGCCCTTGGATGACTGTTGAAAAATTAGAATGTTATGTGATGTGAAATCAAGAGATACAAAAGAGATGTGGAAACACTGTCAGATGTTACCAAGGCCTCATTTTGTGAAATATAGACCAGAATTGCTCTCAGAAACAGAGGCTTAAGAAAAAGCCCTAAAATGAAGAAAAAATAAAATCCTTCCATGAAAGATAACTGTTATCCCTGATTCTGACATTGGCCAAGCCTGTCTGCACATATATCACAAGATCTCTTTACACTTTATTTCCTTATTTCATTCTTCTCTAAAATTCTTATTTAAACTTTGAACTTTGACATTTGACCTTTCTTGTGCTCAGCTGTGTTATAAGGAGGTCACTGACCTGAAGGCGATCCATTGGAACTCCCCCAAAAAGCTGAGGGTCAAGAACAAGCACGTGGAGTTCTTCCGCAACCTTTACCTGACCTTCCTCGAGTATGACGGCAACCTCCTCCGCAGAGAGCTCTTCGGCTGCACAGACGGCAAAGCTAATAATACTCTTCATGAAAAGGTATGTTTAGTTTTTGGAGCACGATTATTCCTCAGTCACACCATCAAGACTGACCTAAAGCGGAAAACAAACTGACAAAAAAATGACAACAAACTGACAACACTGACAACAAACTGACAACAAACTGATAACAAACTAACAACAAACTAACAACAAACTGACAACAAACTGACAACAAACTGACAACAAACTGATTTCAAACTGACAACAAACTGACAACAAACTAATAACAAACTGACAACAAAATGATAACAAACGGACAACAAACTGACTACAAACTGACAACAAACTGACAACAAACTGGCAACAAACTGACAACAAACTAACAACAAACTGATAACAAACTGACAACAAACTGACAACAAACTGATTTCAAACTGACAACGAACTGTCAACAAACTGACAATGAACCGACAACAAACTGTCAACAAACTGACAACAAACTGACAAAAAACTGATTTCAAACTGACAACAAACTGATATCAAACTGACAACAAACTGACAACAAACTGACAACAAACTGACAACGAACCGACAACGAACCGACAACGAACTGACAACAGATCGCGCAATATTTTTAAAACTTGCTTGTAAAATGTTAACAATTCAGCCATTAGCTGCTACCATGAATAAATAAATAACATGTTTTTTTTTCTTTTGTTATCACAGTTAAGCAGTCTCGATGAAGACGATCAGTGTTATGAATTTAGAAGAGAGCAGCTTTTAATGCACAGAACACATCTTTACTATCTAGACTACCAGCTACCTGTAAGTATAAATCCAAATGAATTGAACTGAAGTAAATGAACTGAAATATCTCTCGCTGCATGCGTAGCAATGCCCTTTGATAGTGTGTGGACATATAAACCTTAACCTGTAAAACCAGAATTTCTGAATTCTTAATTTTCATGCTGTGAAATGTTACTTTTGTGTGCACTTTCTGAAAGTCAATTCCTTTCTAATACAAAGCCACATTGTATGTATTGGTGTATTCCAGATATGCTCCTAATTTGATGTTTATGGACATTTTTCTGGTTTATCCAATGCAGAAATTCTTGGACACTGATGTGACGTTGGTTGCCCAGCTCTCTATGGACAGACTGCAGATGCTGGAAGCCATATGTAAACACTGGGAAGGTAAGGTCAAAGTTCATGGATCATAGGTCATAGGTCATCATTCAAAACTTGTAGCAGTCATGTGTAAATCTGTATATATATACAGTGCGTCCCAGAAAAAACGAAACCGAGAACTATCAATATTCTATCATAACTTAATAACATTTATAATTAATAAATGACACATATTTGGAAAGCATAGATCCTCCTCTTTCATTTGATGCAACTCATATGATGCATATTTCATGCATGAGTGATTAAAAGCAATTTGAAGAGAGGAAACCAAAAAGTCATTTGGCGGGCGGTATCTGAATTTCAAGGAGAAAATCACATTTCTAGAAAGTTCAATTTCTGCTCTTTCATGTGACACCTCAATCAGGAAAAACAGAGTTCTGTTTGTTTAAAGTAATGCTTGCATTTCCATAATTTGATCAAACAAGTTCGTTTTCACTGGCTACCTGCCGTTGCAACAAACAGAGTTGACAAAAGACTTAACTCCGTTTCGTTGAAGATCAGCCATGCATCAGGTCTTTCGTCTTCTTTGTGCATGGCTGATCGAAACCTGTCTATAAAGACCACCCAATGGAGACAGGGAAAGTGGTCTCTTGAGACAGGTGGTCTTTATGTACAGGTCCTTTAGTACATGTTTGAATGAGAAACCATTTTCAAGGGAAACAAAAAACATATCACAGGTGTATAATAATTATCATAATAATATTGGGTATTTTTATAGACCACATATCCACCGCGCAGGGTGCTCAAGGCGCTCCCATATTACCCGGCTCTGCTAGGCTACCGTTTTCAGTGCTCACAGCATTCAGGGAACCTGTTCTTACCGCTACCCATTTACCCAGTGGCCCTGCATTGGTCGAGCACGCTATTGTTCCCACCCAGCAGGCGAGCCGAGGCAGCGACCTGATGATTGGTTGAGCACCCATATGCGTCGACCAATAGGCCTTGTCCGTTATTGTTCCAATTATTGATCGAATTAATTGACCGTTAGATCTGCCCGTAGAGTATAAAACATGCTTGCTTACATCAGATTTTATCACCTAATGAAGTGCTGCAGCAGCGCACAAAATATATATTTAGCTAATATATTTAGCATTATTATTATCATTATTTGTGCATTAGGAGATATAAATATTTAGTCACATGTGCGCTCTCAGCTGATCAATTGATTGTAATATACATCAATATTTTATAATAATTTCTCATCTTCATATCGTCTTCTCTACTCTAGGTCCCATAAGTTTAGCTCTGTACATGTCAGATGCAGAGGCCCAGCAGTTTATCCGCTACGCCCTCAGCTCAGAAACCCTGATGGCGAGAAAAAACATTGGATATCATGTTGTTTATAAAGATGGGGTAAGTATTTTTATGCCTCCGCCACCGAAGGTGGTGCCGGAGGCATCATGTTTTCGGGTTGTCCGTCCGTACGTCCGTACGTCCGTCCGTACGTCCGTCCGTCCGTACGTCCGTCCGTCCGTCCCGTTTGACCGTTATCACAATATCTCAAGAACCATTTAAGATTTAAACTTAAGACTCAGGAAAAGTATTTATCACCATAGGAAGACGATCTGATTAGATTTTGGAGTACGTAGGTCAAAGGTCACAGGTCACAGAGGTCAACTTATGAAATTCCTTGTATTGAGTTTGTTAGCGCGATATCTCAAGAACCATTTGAGATTTAAACTTAAAACTTAAGGATAGTATGTATCACCATAGGAAGACGATCTGATTAGATTTTGGAGCACGTATGTCAAAGGTCAAGGGTCACAGAGGTCAACTTATGAAATTCCATACATTGAGATTGTTATCATGATATCTCAAGAACCACTGGAGATTTAAACTTCAAACTTAGTGATAGTGTGTATCACTATAGGAAAACAATCTGATTACATTTTGGAGCACGTAGGTCATAGGTCAAAGGTCACAGGGCTCATTATGTATGCAAAAACAGCTTGTGATCGCGTTATCTGAACAACCGATTGATGGATTCCTGCCAAACTTTGGTCATGTATGTATCTTGCAGAGCTGATGAACTGATTAGATTTTGGGGTCACGAGGTCAAAGGTCAAAGGTCACAGGGCTCATTATGTATGCAAAAACAGCTTGTGATCGCGTTATCTGAAGAACCGATTGATGGATTCCTGCCAAACTTTGGTCATGTATGTATCTTGCAAAGCCAATGAACTGATTAGATTTTGGGGTCACGAGGTCAAAGGTCACAGCGCACATTATGTATGCAAAAACAGCTCGTGATCGCGTTATCTGAACAACCGATTGATGGATTCCTGCCAAACTTTGGTCATGTATGTTACTTGCAGAGCTGATGAACTGATTAGATTTTGGGGTCATGAGGTAAAGGTCAAGGTCATGTGGCTCATTATGTATGCAAAAATAGCTTGTGATCGTATTATCATTAGAACAGATTGATGGATTCCTGCCAAACTTAGATCATTTATGTATCTTGCAGAGCCAATGAATGGTTCATAAGATCAAAGGTCATGGGCTCATTATGTATGCAAAAATAGCTTGTGGACGCATTCTCATTAGAACTGACAGATGGATTACTATTTAACTCAGGAAATCTTGCAGAGCCAATGAACTGAGTAGATTTTAGGGTCATGAGGTCAAAGATCAAAGGGTCATATATGTTTATGAGAAATTGCTTGTAATCACGATATTCTGAGAACATGTTAATGGATTACAATTGAACTTGAATTTGAAAAATTTCTTCCATTTCGGTTTGTAAAATTGCTCTATGACGGAGGCATCATTTTCGACTGCGCGCAGTCGAATTCCATCTAGTTTTGCTTTCCTTTCCTTTCAGGGAACTTTATTTCACATATCTACATTGCTCACAATAACATATATACATATACAATTAAAACATTATCTAAGCATATCGGTTAAAGCTTTTACCGTTTTTTCACTAACCTTTGCTTTTGTTTTAGAATTTAAATGTGACATCAATCACTTCAAATCAGTTAAAAGAGATGTACCATTCTTTTTGCTTTTTGTTTTCAACTGTTTAACATAGTTCTTTTTATTCAGCAAAATCAATCAAAATGTTTACCAAGCAATTATCTAACTTACCTATATCATATCCAATTACTAAAGTCTTCTCAGTTATGTTAATCCCAAAAAATGCTTATTAGGGACAACTGCTTTTTAAAGATTAGTCCTTATGAACTGCATGACTAGAAAATAGACTAATTTAATTTCTCTGTTCTTTCACAGCAATTTTACCCAGTGAATTACCTGCGTAATACAGCAATGAGTCAAGTGAAGACGCCATACATGTTCCTCAGTGATATAGACTTTCTACCCATGTATGGACTGTATGACTATCTTAGGAAAGCGATCGGAATGCTGGACATGGCCACATCTAACAAGGTAAGGGTTGTATCTGTGGTGTAGCTAAAGGAGGTCAAGGGGTATCACTTACCACCCCCTTCAAACTCATGGTAGAAAATAGGAAGGGGAAATGGAGGAAAAGAGAGAGAAAGAGAGAGAAAGAAAAAAAGAGAGAAAGAAAAAGTTACAAGGGAAAAGGAACTTTGCAAAGAAGATGATTGCTCCCGCCCAATCCTCCTATTCAAAGGTCTTTTTAATTTGCTTTTCCCTCTCCCTGACCTGACATGTTCCCGAGCAATATAGACTTTCTACCCATGTATGAGCTGTATGACTATCTTAGAAAAGTGACCAAATGCTGGGCATGGCCACGTATGACATAGCCTTTTGACAAGGCCTTGTGACTCCGGCTAAGCGGCTGAGATGAGTCTAGATACCCCGGGTGAACGCGCGACTGAGTGACGAATGTCACGAGGCCTTTTGGAAAGTGGGTTTCACTGCTCCGCATGAATTATTCATAGATACATATTAGCATGCCAATACGCCTACTTTGGATTTATTGACCAATCAGAACGGCGATCTCCCAGTTGGCTTCGTTCGTGATTCGTTCCATGTAGAGGTCAGTGGTCTTAGCACGTACGTATAGTAGGCATGTAGGTCCATGTTCGCACTACGTAGAGTTTACTGTGTGTGTGTGTGTGATGGATACTATATGCTGACGTCGTGCGAGGATACGTTCGCTGATTGGACACTACGTTTTCTGAAGCGAGTTCCAGTCGGAAACAAGGGTTAACATAAGAAATCCAAACCAGATTGATAAAGGCCACAGGTCTGGACAATTTGCACTGGCGTTCATTCAGGTTTTCGCGATTAGTCTCTTTTTAGTCGCTCGGCGTCTATCAGGCATGTGGCCTTGTTTAAAGGCTACGTCTGACAAGGTACTAACATGCTGACCTTTCAAAAAATCAGTCTGTTTATTGTTGTGGAGAAAAGGAGACAAATTGGACAGACTATAGAACGTCATGTAGTCTGCCAAAAATGTATGTTGCAAAATAGTGTCTCTAATTTGTAAGTTCGTTACACAGTATTACGCGATCGTTTTATGTCCAAATTACAATGTATCATTTTGACAGTTTAATGTAATAGTTCAAATATTTCATAATGTAAGAAACAACATCCCCTCAAAAATAGAAATAGAAATGATAAACTTGTAGTATGTGAACAATTGATGTTAGTCTTAATAGAAGTGACACAATAAGTTGAAACAATTCAAGGACAGTTTATTTAGTATTATCAGGTACATTGAAATCTTAAAGCCCCAATGTACTACTTGTAGCTACTTGCTCCCTCTTTATAGAAAACAATGCCTAAGGGGTGCCTGTTGGTACCCCGTGATCCTCTGTTCCTTATAGGCCTAGTTCCTTATGTTAATTGAGAGCTGAGATGATGAGATAACCACCTGTCAGTGACCACGCTGGGTGGTCTAATCCCTCCTGGTCAAATTAGTACAGACGGGCTTTAATTTGATGCAATCTTCAAAATGTTCATACCTGCAGGCTCTAATAGTTCCCGCATTTGAGACGTTACGCTATCGTCTCAACTTCCCTAAGTCCAAGGCGGACCTCCTGCACATGCTGGATATGGGGACCCTCTTCACCTTCCGCTACCACGTCTGGCAGAAGGGCCACGCCCCAACAAACTTCGCCCGCTGGAGGACCGCCACTACCCCCTATCAGGTAAGCTTAGCCCTGTACCACATGCAAGGGAGTTACCAAGTGACGTGAATGGAGTTGGTTGTACATGTAATTGTATACATTAAACCAAGAGAAATCATCATGTGAACATTTTCTTCCATGTTGTCCAATCATCAGGGTGCTTTCATTTTTTTGTATAATGTCAAAGAATATATGCTACAGTCAAACCTGCTTTAGTGACTACCTGTCTACAAAGACCACATTTTGTGTTTGCCTTGAAAATGGTTTCTCCTTGCATCATGTACTATAAGCACCTTTACCAAAAACCCACCTGCCTATAAAGACCACTTTTCTTGTCTCCCTTGGCTGGTCTTTATAGACAGGTTTCACTGTATATGAAAGGGAGCCACCAAGTGACGTGAATGGAGGGGGAAGGGGGGAGTGAGTTGTAATTTGGAGAGTTGTTGTGGTCCAGTGGATAAGTCTCCGGACTGTAAACCACATGCTACGGGTTTGAATCCTTGTTCAGGCACTAATGACTTTTGACAAGACCTTATGCAAGGGTCACTCTGTGGCCTGGACCCACCCTCCTCAGGTCATCACCTTTCTTCACCTGAGCCAATTATTTGTAACCTCAGGGTTTCACCATCACTTCATGTGCTTTACAAAAAACAAAGGCAAAGCATCACTCTTATCAGCAAATGTGTTAGTCCAGGCTTCACCCTTTGAATTATTTGCATAGGTGATGCTTCACTTTTGTCAGTTTTACATAGGTGAGGCTTCACTTGTGTCAGTTTTCCATAGGTGAGGCTTCACTTTTGTAAGTTTTCGGCCGGCCCAAGACGAAAAACCAATTGAATCCCCATTGAATGTCCCCATTGAATCCCCATTGAAACCCATTGGCCAATTTGGAGTAAATGGAAAGTGAAACAATGGGTCCCCATTGAAACCTACTGGCAATTGGTCCCCATTGAAACCTACTGTCAATTGGTCCCCATTGAAACCAACTGGCAATTGGTCCCCATTGAGACCAGCTGGCAATTGGTCCCCATTGAAACCAACTGGCAATTGGTCCCCATTGAAACCAACTGGCAATTGGTCCCCATTGAAACCTATTGTCAATTGGTCCCCATTGAAACCAACTGTCAATTGGTCCCCATTGAGACCAGCTGGCAATTGGTCCCCATTGAGACCAGCTGGCAATTGGTCCCCATTGAAACCAACTGGCAATTGGTCCCCATTGAAACCAGCTGGCAATTGGTCCCCATTGAAACCAACTGGCAATTGGTCCCCATTGAAACCAACTGGCAATTGGTCCCCATTGAAACCAACATACGCCCAAAAGAATTAGTCTCTTAGCAGTAAAACGTCACACATATATAACATCAATAACAATTACAAAAATAGATTCAGCAAATATTTTTCTACATGTATTTTGAACTTTATTCAACAATCACCATGCATGGAAGGATAAATGTTCATATAGTTGTCAGGTAATATACGTACATGTAGCTGTAATGGTAATACTACATTGAACATATGGTTTGTTTGTTTGTTCATCTAATAACATATTAAAACAATTTGCACTTTCAAATCTAAGGATGTAATCATGTAACAAAAAAGATCATTGAATACTTTTGGAAGTTCATCTGAATTTTGTTCATGTACTTGTCATTTCCTTCTAAAACTAACTTTACACTTTCAACCCCACGTTGGTTAATATCAATATTCTTCTACAAAAAAACAACAACATCAAGTCACAAATGTTACAGCACCGATAAATATATGGCAAGGTGTGGAGGTAATCTCTGTCACTTAAATCGTTTAAACGTAAAGGAGTGAGCCCTTACATATATGGCAAAAATTTGTATCATTTTTCTACTACAAAAAAACGTAAAGTCACAAATGTTACAGCACCAATAAATATATGGCAAAGTGTAGAGATAAACTCCGTCACTAAAATCTTTTGAATGTAAAGGAGTGAGCCCTTACGAACAGCAAAAGTTAATATCATTATTCTACACACAAAAAAGAAGTAAAGTCACATGTGTTACATCAACAATAAATATATGGCAAGGTGTGGAGGTAATTTCCGTCACTAAAATCTTTTAAACGTAAAGGAGTGAGCCCTTACATATATGGCAAAAGTTTGTATCATTTTTCTACACACAAAAAAAAAGTAAAGTTACATGTGTTACATCAACAATAAATATATGGCAAGGTGTAGAGATAATCTCAGTCACTAAAATCTTTTGAACGTAAAGGAGTGAGCCCTTACAAACAGCAAAATTTAATATCATTATTCTACACACAAAAAAGAAGTAAAGTCACATGTATTACATCAACAATACATATATGGCGAGGTGTAGAGGTAATCTCCGTCACTAAAAATCTTTTAAACATAAAGGAGTGAGCCCTTACAAACAGCAAAAGTTAATATCATTATTCTACACACAAAAAAAAAGTAAAGACACATGTGTTACATCAACAATAAATATATGGCGAGGTGTGGAGGTATTTCTCTTGGCAGTCACAGATTGAGGCAGGTCAAGTACTTGTACTATGATTTAAAACTGATCGTATATGTGAAAAATTTGGTATAGCCTTCATTTGTAATCTCTGTCAATACAATCTTTTAAACGTAAAGGAGTAGCCCTTACAAACAATGGCAAAAGTTCATATCATTATTCTTGTACAAAAAAATCAAGTCACAAATGTTACAGCACCAATAAATATATGTCAAGGTGTGTAGGTGCTTCTCGTGACAGCCACAGATTGACACACTGAGAACTGAGATGGCTGTTGAAAGACATTGCTGAGCAAGTACTATAATTGCAATAGCTTATGTTATAACAAATTTTTGGCATCGCTTATTAAAATCTTTTGGCATAGCTTACTGATTTGTAATATATGAGAATAAATCTTGTAAATGTATAGGATCGAGTCCCTATAAACAATGAAAAAAATAAATACCATTATTCTTCTACCCCCAAAAAGACAAAAGAATAAGGTCAAAAATGTAACAGCACCAATAAATATATGTCAAGGTGTGTAGGTGCTTCTCGTGACAGCCACAGATTGACACACTGAGAACTGAGATGACTGTTAAAAGACATTGCTGAGCAAGTACTATAATTGCAGTTGCTATGTAAACAAAATAAAAAAGAAAACACTTAAAGTTGTCTTGCTTTAAAGACCGTCAATACTACCGGGCCAGAAGGGATTAGACCACACAGCAAGGTCAATGATAGGTGGCTATCTCATTAACTCAGCTCTCAACTAACTGGAGGATCATGGGGGACCAACAGGCACCGTTTGGGGAAGTTTTCTATATAGAAGGAGCAAGTAGCTACAAGTAGGACAGTGGAGCTTTATCGCATGATACAAATATATTACTTATGATTACTTTTTCACCGGACCCTACACAAATCCTGGATCTTTTCAGCGAGGTAGCGTTTTATTTTTTTGAGCTCCTCGCGCTTCTCATCTTCTGATAAGTTAGTGTCCTGAAGTCGCTCAGTGAAGCATCCTGCAAATTATACAAATAACGTAAACACAAATAACTCAAATGGTAGAACAATAACTCAAGAATTTACATTTTGTTCATTCTATTCAAATTGTTATATATCAGGGTTACAAAAACAAGAAAATACAAATTAAAATAAATGTAATATTGAGCGAGTATATATATATCATGTAGCTAAAACTATATCAGTTTCTTTACATCAACATTCTACAGTATCTTCTTTACTTTGTATGAGAGATCTATGAATTTCCCTTTTTATGTAAACAAACTAAGTGCACTTCATCCAAACGACAAGACTGGGAATTATCAATTTGTTTAACCCTATTCCATCCTTGGGGAAGGGGTGTAGAAACATGCGTAACATATGAAAAAAGACAAGTTGGATTAGGATCAACACAATGCTTTGAAAATATATATACCTTTGAGCACATCCAGCTTCAGAGGATCGAGGGCTGGCTTCGCTACATGGTCCTGCAGCTTCGCATGCCGAGGACTCTTTTTCCCATCCACCGAGCTTGTAGCAAGCGTTGCGCGGCCAAAAATGGCCACAGCAAGGTCCTTGATAAAAAGGCTGTGTTTTTGCTGCCTTTTTATAAGGTCCATCATGGAGCGATGGACCTCCACTCCATGACCAAGTGTGATCTAAAAATAGGTAAGAAAGACAAAATCTAGAATTTACCTTCCTCAAATTATATATGAATTTCATTGGTGAATACGGGGATGTCAACCTTCTATAAACAGTATTTTGAAGTTTAAAACAAATGTATTTTTGGTGGAAAACAGTGTTTTCCATGGAATGTGCAGTATTTTTCACTGCAAAAAATTAAATAAAAAATAGAATTGTAGACCCAATGATTTCTTTCTACATTGTACTGTACATGTAGGTCATATTGCCTGTTCATACATGTAAAAAAAATAAGTGAAATTTGTGAACCAGTGGCTACACAATTGTGAGTTTGCCATCTTACCATTGCTGTCTCTTTCAACTGGGCTTTTAAAGGACTGTTTCTATGTACTGGTGGTCATTTAGCCCTCCTCCCCCCCCCCCCAAAAAAGTACATCGATCGATCAGGATGTGTATAAAGGATAATGCATGTTTTTCTAATCTTTATTTATATTTCCTTTAAATATTCAGATTTATGCACTCCTTAACTTAACTTCCTTATTAGTTATCTGATTTGACTAAAGAAAAATTGCTCTGTTTCTCTGCATCTCTTAAAAGCAAATTATTTTTGGAGTGGACTTGGCCTTTAATGCACAATGGGCCCATTTCTATAAACCAACAAGACATAGAGAAAACTTTGACTGCCAACTGCAGAGTAGTCTCTGATTTTCCTAACCCATTTCATAAAGAGCCGACTATAGCTAGACATCCCGATGCAAATTTGAGCCCAAATAATTCGAAGTTTGTAATTGATGTACCGATAAATGAGTTAACGTACTGTTGCAGAGGGTGATGATTGGCCACTTGGGTGTGCTGCGCTGTTTTGAGTCCTGGGAGCTGCGTTCAGCGAGGGTGATGATTGGCCACTTGGGTGTGCTGCGCTGTTTTGAGTCCTCGGTGCTGCGTTCAGCGAGGGTGATGATTGGCCACTTGGGTGTGCTGCGCTGTTTTTAGTCCTGGGAGCTGCGTTCAGCGAGGGTGATGATTGGCCACTTGGGTGTGCTGCGCTGTTTTGAGTCCTGGGAGCCGCGTTCAACGGAGTCAACTTGCACATGTTAGATGCTGATCCAGCTAGTAGGGTTTGGGTGAAGGTGCGAGGGGTATCTGGAAGGGGGGGGGGGGGGTGATAAAAAGCAGTATGTCAAAGGGGTAATTCTTTTTTAGTTCATATGAAGGAAATCATAAACGGACCATTCTTTCTAAATAGAATCTCTTTTGAATTTAAAAGTAAAATCATTAGCTGAGGGGAACTTAACTTACGAGAGAACTGAAACAAATAAATAAAAGACAAGGGGCAACATTTTGTCTTTGCAGAAGGAAATTATTCGACTTGCATAAGCGATCGTATAATCATCAGACCGTTGCTCAAAGGCTCTCATGTTGATTTATCAACAAATCAACAGGCTATGAGGTGGCAAGCAAAAAAAAACAGATGCAGGACGCAAATTTTTGGCCTCCTGTCGGGAAAAAAGGTGTGGACCAGTGAAATTCTTACAAAGTGAGCATAACATAACCAGTGAAATTCTTACAAAGTGAGCATAACATAACAATGATTTTTTTGCGTTAATGTTGGCAAAGCGCACTTTTATTTGATTGAGGGTTGACATGTTAATGCACCCAAATCTAGAGGTTTAATTACTTTGCCACAATATACAAAAATTAAGGAGGTATTTGAACAAGCTTTTACAGGGATTACAGGTCAATGGATAAAGAAAAACATGACTGTTCAAATTCGAAATCCGATGATTAAAGACTTGTAAAATACCCTCTACAATAAAAAAAAATTAAAAAAATGGGTTGAAACATCAAAAATAGATTACCTAATACTAAATTTTATGAAGGTTGGATTACATGCTGGAAGAATTAGTAGGAGAAACATAAAATTATTAAGATTTCAAATAAAATGATACCATTCTCTGGCCTGGACTTAAAGGTACTATGTCCCATTTGCAGGCAAAAAAATGAAAAGATTTAATTCCAACGGCATTTGAAAGATAATACTGATTTACAACTTCCCTAAGAAAAGAGGGGCTTGAAAATGTCTTTAAGTGGGAATATAATGACTGTTAGTTGTCAAACGTACGCTATGCAGACTGGATTCCAAATATTGTCACTCAACTGACATGATTAGAATTCAGGAATTGCATGTGAAGTCGCACGACAAGTTGGGCCAAAAAATTGCATAATAAACTTGCACGGTATGGCTAGCAAGAACAGATATTTAATCAGACTGAGATGTTAATAATCATGACTACTTTGCATACCTTTGTCTTCCTGTTCTCTATTGGGAGAGGGCGTGGCTGGAGGCCTCGAGAGCTGTCGAGCAGCTGCTGACACAGGCACAGGGGGGCGAGGGAACCTGTTAACCAAAGAGGCAATCTCTTTGGTGACTTAAAAAGAGAAAGAGAAAGCAGGTATGAAGAGTATTTAAGAAGAATTTTGAGAAAAGCAGAATCAAAATAGCTGCAAACAAGGGTCAATATGAATTCACAATAGTCCTGCTGGAAACTTGTTGGTCTTAAAAATTTACTATTTTTCTTCATGTACATTTTTTTATTAAAATGCATATAATTTTCCTCAAGAATAATATGTCATTTTTAGTGTATTGATAGACAAAACTCCATTTTGAGGTGAACATTATGATTACTTTTTATTGCAACAAATATTCTGAAATGTTCAAAACTTTATACAGCCTGCACATGTAGGCATAAAACAGCAAAGTACGAGGGTCTTACTCTTATATGCTACCTACCAATGATATTATACGTACATGTACTATAATGTAATTCAAAATTTCAAATACACTCACGCGTTGGAATCTTATCAAGGAGCTCCCCCTGAAGCCTCCTGTTGCGGGCTTCTGATTCATGTAGCTTCTTTTTCAGAATGGCCTTTTCAGCCCTGAGACTTGCTACCACTTGTACCAGGCTGCTTTCTACTGCTGCATCATGTGGTTCTTGTGGTTTCGGTGGTTGTGGTGGAGGTAGTGATGGTCGTGGGCAAGTAGCAGTAGCAAATTTTTCGCTTTTTTGCCTCCATCTTTTGCTTAAGGATGGCATCGAGCGCGGTTCTTTTACCCGTTGTTTGTGCAGCCTGTATCGATACCAAAAGATAGAAAAATAGTCGATCATAAAAAACAACTTTTTTCCTTGTGTGCTCGGAAGTAAGGTATAGAGGGTCTACTGGTACCAAAAGTCTTGATTGGAAATTCCCCCTCCCCCCCCCCCCCCCCAAAGATTTTTTGTTTTTTTAAAATAAAAAATAGACTTAATTTTGGTCACATTCTTTCTTTACTACCTACACACCTCTGACGTACAAGCAGGCTCCAACAGAAAGATTTGTTTTATTCTTTCATGAAACGTATCCGGCATACAAGCATCTGTTTCCACATTATATGCAGAGAAAGGTCATGAGGACACAAGAAAGTATTGCATAAGAACTTACTCTGATTTTCTTCTGCAGAGCTGCTGCCGCCGGCACATTGGCAATGTTTGTGTGATTGCCCGGTTTGCCCCCCTCTTCGTCGGTCTCCTCCACCGAAGAATCAAGGATTTTTGGCACCTGGAGCCTTCTCCCGTGCTCTAGACGGCGTTTAATTTCTGCTTCCGAGTCTGCAGTAAAAGAGAAATTACAGAATGATCTACAATGTATGCCATTCTTTAAAAGAAACTCAACCAAACCCTATCAGTAGCGACTATCACACAATCAAACTCAACTGCAAATGTATAATCCACCCACCATCCATGAAATAATAATAATTAACTTAGGTTAGAACCAATTAGCGCGCACCACTAAACTAGAATAACAAAACAAACGGAAGTTGACTCATGTCCGTACACGTGCATGCCACTGATTTTGAATTCACTAGCATAAATTTGAATAATTAATTTACACCGTCTAAAAAGTTTACCATGTTTAGACTAGATCTAGATAGATCTCGGCAGAAATTAGTCTAAACCAACAATTTTTTTCAGAAGTCAAAGCAATCAGATTCAAGCTTCCTCATCAATGTTCATGGGAGTGGGAGCTAGTAGACACTATTATTTAGATCTTTGTATATTAAAAGAGTTTTTTTTACTCTCTAGTCCTGGAAAGTGAATGCGCGAACCCCGTGCACACAATAGGGACTTTTCGATTTGCACGTTCACTAGTGGACTGCGACGTATGCGGTCACTTTTGAAGCAGTGCACATGCGCATCGACGAGCTCATCGTTCGTAGCTCTCTCTCTTGTATCCTTCCTCCGCTCAGGTCGGAGATCGTCGGCACTGTGAGTCTGCCGAAGTTACATAAATGGCTTTCTATAGGTCGTTAAGTAGATTTTGACGGGTTGTGTCAGAATTCTTGAACGCGTTCGCCCTTGTTTTGCCGTCGTTCGCAAACTGTGACGATACATGTTAGTATTATAGTAAGCAATCTTTTGTAGGCACGAAACATCACATTGAAGTCACAAAATGGACCCAATTGACCCAATTCTAGAACCGGAGAGTGGTGGAAGCGTGAATTCTCTTAAATTAACATATTTTTGTGTCTGTAATTTCCCTTAAATCAAAATTGTTGCAGAATAATTCATGAAATGAACACATTTTATTTGTGCATCGCCAATCTGTTGCAGCATAATTTTTGAGATCAGTCCCATGCACTGAATTTGGTGTGTTGAATCTTTAGCTTTTCGATCGAATTTCGCGCTCAATAACAGCAGAATAATTCATAAAATGAAAACGTTATATTTATCCAACGCTCATCTGTTGCAGCATAATTTTTGAGAACAGTGCCATGCACCAAATTTGGTGTTATAGACTATCTTTAGCTATTCGATCGAGTTTCGCACTCACTAAGCGAGCGTCGTAAATCGAAAAGGTAACGAACAATTACAGAATACAGTCAACACTACAGTCAGCGTGCCTCGCCAACCCTGCTTAAAAATGACCGCATAAGTCGCAGTCCACTTATATGAACGTACAAATCGAAAAGTCCCTAATACAGCATGCTAACTTACTTAGTTTGCTACAGCCAAAAAAAAAGTGAAAGGCGTAAAATAATATTCTAAAAAAGAATGAAACGCAGATAGTAATAACAAACATAACAACAGATAACAGTATAAACGTGCATAGATCTAGACTAGATCTAGGTCTATTTTACTCACCAGCTAGTAGCAGAATCTGGGCCCTGTAATACCCTGCTGTAGCTCTTTCCTCTTTAGTAGTACTAGGCACAGCCGCCGCTGTCACCCCCTCGCCTCGCCGTCCTTTGCCTGAGCCTTCGGCTTAGCCTTCGGCGTCCACTTCACCATGTACAGATTCCCCGGTTTGTGGTAGCGTGACTGAAACTTCTTGATGTCCGCAGTTTTTACAGTGCACTTCACGTTGTCATCATAAAATTTTACATATGCATATGCAAACTTGTTAACCTCTTCAGACTCAGACTCAGAGGATGACATGCTTCACGCTCAATTGTCTTTAGTTCGAACAATATGCAAGATGAAATGGAGATCGAGGTATAGCTTTATGGTGAGATGGAATATGTACTGCACGTGCAAGTCATATGAAGCGTATACTCGCAGCAAAAGCCGTTAACGTGGTTCGAAATTTGGCGCGTATCACCGCCGAGCTGACTTGACAGTTATACCGTTCAGTTTTCAGAACTTGACTAGTCTCTTTGTCGATCACATTACAAGATTAAGATATAAAATAATCATGATTTCTCTTTCAAATATAGACCTCTAGCGGGGATGAATGCTATTTTGCAATATTTTTTTTTAAATTTCAGGAATTTTTCATTCTAGATATTTAGTTTTGTTTTATTGACTTTCAAATCGAGCTGTAAAGACTATATCCCTCCGATTTATGTCTGAAATTAAGACTAAAACTAAAACTAAAACAAGCACGGATCCGGGGACAACTCGGCCCTGCTGCACAAACGGGTCATTTTTTGGTAATTTTACCATAACCCTCACTCTAACTCTAACCCTAAACTTGACCCAAAACCTAACCCTAACCCTAAACCTAACCCAGGCGCGGATCCATGGGGGGGGGGGGGGGGAGGGCGGCGAGCAGGCCATCCCATCCCCCGGCCCCCCCCCCCCCCCCCCCGGCAAAAAAAAAAAAAAAAGAGCGAGAAGGAAAAGAAGGGAAAGGGAAAGGGAAAGAGGAGAGAATTATGATCGAGGGAAAGAAAGAAAAGGAAGAAGAAAATAAAGGGGGAAATTAAAGAAGGAGATAGGGGGGCTGGCAGGGCCTTGCCTCCCCCCCCCCATCAAAGAATAAGAGAGAAGGAAGGATAGGTTCTTCAATTATGTCTTTTTTTCTTCTTTTTTTTCTTCTTTTGTATTGGTGTTTAGATTCTCTCTGCTTTTCTTTTCTCAACAATACAGTTATACTTTTGAAGGGGTTGACGTTCATAAGGCTAATTACCCTTTTTGTTAACCCCACACTCCCATAACATTTGGTTTGCTCCTTCCCTTAAATTGTATTTTTTGGTAATCGATCTTTTATCTGTATACCATGTTTGTATGTTTTAATGCGTTTTTTTTTTTTTTATAGAGAATGAAATAAATGAAATGAAAAGAAATGAAAATGAAAGAAAAAAGGAAAGTGAAAGAAAAAAGGAAAAAGAGGAAGAAGAAAAGAAAAGAACTGGGATATCAGTTGCAATTTCCTCGCCAACAAGTTGTGGATCAGGGGGAGAAGCTAAAACGCCCTTGCCTCTCACAACCCCGCCAAAAAAAAGAGAAGAAAGAGAGATGGAACAAGGAGCGCTAAAAATGAACAAAAGGAGGAAGAAGAGAAAAGGGTGAAGGGGAGATGAGCAGTGCGATTAATCCCGCCAAAAACTTGTGGATCGGGGGCCGCCAGGCAGTGCCTACCAACCCCCCCCCCCCCCCCCATCAAACCCAAAAGAGAAAAGGAAGGGAAGGGAAAGGGAAAGAAAACAAAGAGAAAGAATTAAGGTAGGGGAGATCAGATGCGATTCCCCCCCCCCCCCCCAACAAGATGTAAATCGAGGGGAGATGCACTGGCGTACGGATGGGGGGGGGGGGTGGGGTGCTCCCCCAATAAAATTCAAACATGGTTTATTTCGATACCGGTGATTTACAAATGTGCTGAAATGACATAATTTTCCGGTATTTTTCCTCACTTTTTAGTAATTTGTACTTTTTTTTATGCGTTTGTTTGGAAATGACAAATTCTTAAAAATTACCGTCAGGCGAGAAATATGCTTATTTAAAGGCTTACATGCCAGGGGCCGCGGAACGGCGGGGCTCGGTGGCCTCGAGCTTCCCCTCCCAATTTTTTTGAAAAAGTTTATTAAAGAGAAATATAAAGAAAGAGAGAAAGAAAAAAAAAGAATAGTGACCTGCCAGTGTCACAAAATAATGAGATATCAAAATAATTATGCTCATGTTATTCGATCTGACCGTGATTAAATCCGAAAATAAACTCTGAGATTCCCAGGGCTCTGCCCCCTGGATTCCACCTAGGGCCCTAAGTCGGGCCCCTGGATGCTCGTGTGACGGTAATTTAATACCTAGAACCCCTGAGCTTCTGGGGGCTCCGCTCCCTAGACCCCACACCACTCATGCGAGTGTCACAAATAAGGTATAAAAAAAATGCTCATCTGACCTTAATTAAACACATACAACCCCTGAGCTTCCGGGGCTCTGCCCCCTGAACCTAAACAAAGGCCCTATAGGGCGGGCCCATGGATATTCATCTGACCGTAGAAGCCTAAAACCCCTGAGCTTCCGGAGGCCCTGCCCCCTAGACCCCACCTAGCGCACGAAATCGGGCCCCTAGATGCTCAGGCTGGCGGTAGTTTAATTCCTAAGACCCCTGAGCTTCTGGGGTCTACGCCCCTGGACTCCACGCCAATTAATATCATGCCAGTGTCACAAATTAGGTATCAAAATATGCTCATCTTATAAATAGATGCCTAAAACCTGGGCTGCCAAGTGAAAATGTGATGTGCATAGAAAAACGCCATATTGTGGGAATATATTCAACTCATCTGGTAACTTGACCAAACAAAATCTAAAAAGACGTTATCATGCACTGCTTTTCATGATCTCCATTAGATACCAGGAAAACAAAAAAAAATCGCCTCGGCGCTATGCGGCTAGTCGATTGGGTAAAAAAATATGGGTCAACCCCCCCCCCCTTAGCAAAATGCTAGATCCGCCCCTGAAGACCCCTGAGTTTCCGGGGGACGCCACATCGACCACACCAGGGGCCTAAGGCGCTTCCTGAAAGCTTATCTGACCGTTATAAAATGCCTCAAATCCGAGAAGTTTCAGGGGGCTCTGGACCCTGGACCCCACGCCAATTAGTGACCTGCCAGTGTGCATAAATATGGTATCAAAATATGTTCATCTGACCGTAGTTAAATGCCCATACCACCTGAGCTTCCGGAGGCTCCGCCCCTTGACCCCCGCCGGTCCTTTGCCCCAATTAGACCCCAAGCAAATTTATGCTACGCTCTATACCTGATCTTAAATACTTTTAATTAGCCTCCCCCACCCCCGGCCCCCCCCCCCCCACTCAGTGTTATTTAGGGTACGCATATGCTCGTTCCCTCTTTTTGAAAGTACCCCTATCTGAGGACTGCCAACTTTTCCGAACCCCCCTTTCGCGGACTTTTCGCAGGCTTTTCGAGGGCTTTTCCTGCCTTGGAGATCCCCCTAAATCAGGAAAAATGCTCAATGTACCCCCCTAAATTCTGAATAATTTCTCAGGAGTCCAAAGAGATGAGAGAAAGAAGAAAAACACCCCCTTTTTAAAGAAATCTCCGGGTGAAAAGTCAAATACACCCCCTTTTTTACAATTCTCGGGCCGGACTTTGTAGCACGAAAAGTACCCCTTTACCGGACATTTTGGCAACACGCATGCGGTCATTTCGAAACCTGAGTGGGGGGGCCGGGCCCCTATCTGAGGACTGCCAACATTTCCGAACCCCCCTTTCGTGTGCTTTTCGCGGGCTTTTCCTGCCTTGGAGACCCCCTAAATCATGAAAAATGCTCAATGTACCCCCCTAAATTCTGAATAATTTCTCAGGAGTCCAAAGAGATGAGAGAAAAAAAGAAAAAACACCCCCTTTTTAAAGAAATCTCTGGGTGAAAAGTTAATACACCCCCTTTTTTACAATTCTCGGGCCGGACTTTGTAGCACGAAAAGTACCCCTTTACCGGACATTTTGGCAACACGCATGCGGTCATTTCGAAACCTGAGTGGGGGGGGGGGGCCGGGCCCCTATCTGAGGACTGCCAACATTTCCGAACCCCCCTTTCGTGTGCTTTTCGCAGGCTTTTCCTGCCTTGGAGACCCCCTAAATCATGAAAAATGCTCAATGTACCCCCCTAAATTCTGAATAATTTCTCAGGAGTCCAAAGAGATGAGAGAAAAAAAGAAAAAACACCCCCTTTTTAAAGAAATCTCTGGGTGAAAAGTTAATACACCCAATTTTTTACAATTCTCGGGCCGGACTTTGTCACACGAAAAGTACCCCTTTATCGGATATTTTGGTAACACGCATGGGGTCCGTCCGTTCGTTCTCGGAGTTGGGGGGAGGCCGGGCCCCCACCCACTTTGAAAAATGTTCAGCGGGGCGCTATAGCTGCATGCATGTAAGAACTTTGGGGGCCTGCATGATGCAGATTTTGTGTCTGCCCCCCCCCCCCCAACGTTTGGTCACCATGACGTACCAGTATTTGGCTCGCATAATTTCAAATTTGGTCCCCCCCCCCCCCCCCCCCCCCCTTAAGAAATCCTGGATCCGCGCCTGACCTAACCCTGCAGTGCAAAAACCGACTGTTTTTGCAGCGGGGCCGAGTTGTCTTGGGGTCCGATTCTGTGATCACGTACTGTAGCTACACGTGGTTGCGTACCGCGTGGGCGCGCTGCTAGTACGTGTGCTAAAGCTAGTGCAGTTAGTTCAGTGCATGCAAGCATGTGTCAAACCAGTTCACGTTACAGTTACTACTACTAGATCGGCGGAAATTTCAACCCAGTTTGCTGTACTACTAATAATACTTGTCGAGAAGATTTGACAGAACAGAAGAGTTTAAGTATGGAACATCAGAATCAGAGATCCCTCAAGAGATATCTTGATGCTGTTATTGGTGATGACGACGAAATGTCTATACCTCGTACAACCCGTTGGAGGAGGGAACATCAGCGTATTGAGGCGGGAGATCGAGATGAACTTATGATGGAGCCTGTGCATGTGGAGGACACGACCGATGACCAAAACATTGCAGGTACGGTAAAAAGGTCATTATTAATACCAAGGAAGTTCATACCCCCACAAATCTAGAGTTAGGGTTTGGGGTTTGGATTAGGCATAGGGCCTAGCCATATTCCGATTACGGAAAAATCAAGACAAAGTAGATCTAGGCCTAGAAATCTAGTCTAGTCTAGAGTCTAATAATTATTAATATTTTAATGCACTCTAGATCTAGAATGGAGTCGGGCTAACTCGGACCAGGGGACAACTCGGCCCAGGTACAAAAACGGTCAGATTTTGCATGTTAAGGTTTAGGTAAAGGGTTAGGGTTAGGGTTAGGCCTAGCCTTTTAAACAAGGCCACTTGTCTGATAGACGCCGAGCGACTAAAACGAGACTAATTGCGAAAAGAACGAGAGAGCGAGAAGCCCTTCCATGTAGCCTTTATCAATCTGATTTGGATTTCTTATATTAACCCTTGTTTTCGACAGGAATTCGCTCCAGATCTAGTCTAGACCTAGACCAAATTTTCCGTCTCTTTCGTTCGTTAAGCCTCTTAATTTGGGTAGGGTCGGCTCTCTCTTTAGAGACGGAAGCCGACTATACGCATTCCCTTGCTAACACAAAGGCCATTGATGGCCATATTTTTATGCCCCGAAAATCCCCCCAAATGTCATTTTACCTTTTGCATGTTATATATTGTAAATTAGGCCTAGACCCTAGGCTATAATAAATCGGTTCCACTTACCAACTTGACTGAAATAATCTGTTTATAATGGTCCCTTTTTAGGAAATTATGGGTCAAAATCGAAATCCATGTTGAAAATCTTGCAACTTATTTTAACTCTCGCTGCGCATGACGTCATCTAAATCTCATCTCTTCTAGTCTACACCAAAGGCAAAATGATATTGAAGGAAAAACTATGCGAGCTACACGTTCGTAATGGCGTTATCACAGTTTTTCTTCATAATCATTTTGCCTTCGGCGAAGACTAGAAGAGATGAGATTTAGATGACGTCATGCGCAGCGAGAGTTTAAATAAGTCTTGCAAGATTTTCAACATGGATTTCGATTTTGACCCATAATTTCCTAAAAAGGGACCATTAAACGATTATTTCAGTCAAGTTGGTAAGTGGAACCGATTTATTATTGCCTAGCAGGCCTAATTTACAATATAACATGCACGAGGTAAAATGACATTTGGGGGGATTTTCGGGGCATAAAAATATGGCCATCAATGGCCTTTGTGTTAGCAAGGGAATGCGTATAGTCGGCTTCCGTCTCTAAAGAGAGAGCCGACCCTACCCAAATAAGAGGCTTAACGAACGAAAGAGACGGAAAATTTGGTCTAGTCTAGACCTAACTCGAAGGGACTCGATCACCATATTGCATTGGAAGTCGGATGTTTTTTTATATTATTGTTTTGGTATCGTCACATAGAAATTAAGCTTAAATTTAGCGCATGCGCAAAACGTTCATCATCCGATCTCGGTGAATCGCAGTCTCATTTTACTAAATTAGCGCCGACAAGGGCCCTTATTGGCTATCGCTGGCTTTCATTCACTCAATGTTAAAATGAGGAGCTAGCAACCTTGCGATTTTCCGTTTCATTCGATACCAAAATTTCAGCAGTTCACTTAAGGCCAAATAAAAAAAAAACATGTTTAGCGTTCTGCCTTTTTGAAAAATATGGAGGAAGCCCTTTTTTTTTCTTCTTCAAAATGGCCGCTCGGTACAGTTTCCCTGACAGTCGGGCTATTTTTCAAGATGGTCGCCTTTCAAAAAAAAAAAGGAAGCAGGCGGGGGCTCTAAATATATATTTTTTTAAAGGGCACTTGTTAAATAAGGTATCCAAAATATGACCCGTAACTCTGGCGTGAAGATACCCTACTAAAACATACCCGAAATGATGTAAATATTCATTAAATGTCCAAATAAAGATCATGAGTTAAAATTTGTTATGTTTATTACCCGTTTCGTGTCAATTGTTTTGTTATTTTTTGAGTATTTTTTCGGAAAAACAATGATATTAGTATACACTTTTTCACAGGTTTCATGGCAAACCGCTGCACAATACAAGTGCATATCGATGGTGGGTTGCGGGCAGGCGCGCGCCTGTGTGAAGTTATCTACCGTAATGAGGATCTTTAAAGCCAAATTGTAAGCTGTAACAATAAGTCGTGTTTTTCCTTAGCCATCATACTACTAGCAACAAAATTGGTAGGTAATGTTATTTAGTCTTCTTTTTTTCTGTTCCGAATTGTTGTCATGGACAAATGCAATCCCATTTAAATAAAAGTGTAACTCTGTTTAAAATTGTGTTATTTATAATATGTATAACTATTAAATGTGAGTAAATATTTTGTACTGTTGTCCCACATACTGATGTATTTGTTATTACGAAACATGCAAAATCATGGCCGTATTTTTTAAAGTTTTTTTATAGACTCTAATTCTAAAGGCTAAGCCAAAGCTAGTTTCATTTCGTAGACAGAAATTGATGCCATCACTCATGACAATGAGCCTCCTGGCATCGATTGTATATAAATAATACAATTCAATCAAACAGTTGTAAGAAAAATTCTGAGGTATAGGAACATCATTGATGTATTTATTTACAGGTTTTTTTATAAGAAAATTCAATTTCTGTCTACGAAACTAGCTTTATATCGATATTACAAGAAAAAAATCTGGCATTGATTTTGCACAATTCGTTATAACAAATATATCGGTATGTGGGACAACAGTAAAAATGTACTCGCATTTAATGGTTTTAATTTATAAATAACACAATTTTAGACGGAATAACATTTTTTTTAATGGGATTGCATTGTCCATGATAAAAATTCGGGTCAGAAAAAAAGACTAAATAAACATATTACGTACCAATTTGGTCGCTTGCTTTATACTAGGAGCGCGCGCGCCACTGGAGCTAGTTTCTGTGTATTGTGAATGTGTGCGAACTGCGTATGCATGATGTGCACGAAACCATCGGGGGCCTGGCCGCTGCCGGGCCGGGAGCTTAGGCGCGGATACCGCTGTAGATCTAGCTACAGTAGGTACGACCGCCGATCCGCTGCAATCACAAAATTTTTTAAATGATGATGGAAGTTTCTAGTTTTGGAGTTGGTAGTTGGAACAGAGATTTCACTCAGACACATCAATAAATTGATTTATTAATTCCTAGGGAATATCAATTTATGGCGGGGGCGATTTTTCAATATATATCCAATTTTTTTCGCCCTCGTCTTGATTTTTACCGTGGCGATTTCAGAGGTTTAGGGGGCAAATCGCCCGTCGCCACCATGTATTTTTTTCGTTGGACCCCAAAATTGTATGAATAACCGGAAAAATCCTTTTTTTTTCTCTGAGCCCAAAAGTATGAGTCTCTTTGAGGACTATGAGTTCACAATACACTTACAGTTTACGTTTTGAACTCAAGTGTTAGGAGTAAGGATAAGGATCAAAATCTTTTAGAATGACAGGGTAGAGCACGTAAACACAATTAAATTCACAAGTCTTTCACAAGTGAATGAAAATTCAAAGAAAAATTCTACACCAATCGATCTCGTCTATTTCACAGCATATTTTGATTCTGTTTGTTATACTGATACGGCTTACGGTAATTGGTTGGGGCTTCAAAAGTTCAAGTATTCTAGCTACACAGAATGTTGAAATCCATTAATTATGAAAATTTATTCAAAATGAAAGAAACAATTTCATGACCTTTCCCAACACTGCCCATTCCCTTTCATGTAGGTCTTGACGAAGCGCTAGCAGTTCCTCTGCCTGTGACTGAAGATGGTGCAAATGAGGAAGCTGAGCATGTCCAAAGCAGTGAAAGTGGTCCAGAGTCTGTTGCCAATCACATCGACAGCGACACGGATGAAAGTCCTCTGGAATCTCTTGCTGAATCTGGTGTAAGTGACATCGATGAAAATAGTCTGGTGTCTTCTGCCGAATCTGCTGACACTGATGAGAATGTTCCAGAGTTTGTTGCTGAGCCTGTTGGTGCCAATGTAAGTGTTCCTGGACTTGCTATCGAGTTTTTGGTTAGTAAAATTAAATATTTAGGTACTGTACAAGTGTACGAATACTTAAAATCTCATGTTGAACAAGTTTTTGGAAAGATTTTGTGCAGTTTTGATGCAGTTTGGACAAGAGATTTAATCTTTAATGATACAAAACTGCTGACACACCTAAGTTACCAATGATCTGTTTTTAATCGCCCAAAGAATTTGGGTTGTATTGTGGTATGGCGTAAATGTTGTCCATCTGTCTGTCCATATCCGTCAGCAAATTCCTTGTGCCATAATGTCATAATCATATGTGCAGTTTATTTTGACTTGGTTTAGGTAGTACAGCAAGCTGATTGTTCAGCAACTTCAGCCTTATCACAGTAGGCTGTAAATAAATATTTTTAAAAATGTTTCATTAATCATTGCTTTTTTCCTGTTTGTTCTTTTTCATCCGGTTTTGTTCAGGCCCCTGAAGAATCTGATGCAGCAGAATTTTCAGTCAATAGTGACAATGACATCCCTGATGGATATGGTAAGTACTCCTACTCTGATTTGTAACCATAATCAGGTTGGGGAAGGGGGGGGGGGGGGGGTTGAGTGATCTGTCCGCAACATGCAAAGCTGACATTTTTGTGAATTTTGATAGCCTTTTTAACAAAATTAATTTTGTGATGTTTAGGATCGCAAAAGTGTCCCTGACAAGTTTCATTAGAAAAACAATTGTTAACAACAAAAAAGAAATGCATTAGAAATATGGTGGTGATATCATTTGTTTATCAAAGAATACAAATGTAAAGTAAACAAAACACAATACATCCAACATACTTTGAAAAACAATTATTAAAATCATTTGACAAAGTAGCTACATGTAAAGAGGCGGAAACATAATAGGAAATTTTCAAATGTAGTATGAAATTGCAATTTTTGCATGGCATTTGAAAACATATTTGTTGACAGATACATGTAAATAGAAAGCAAAAAAGCAACAAGTGTGTAACTTAATGTGATATTACATTGCTCTTTAAACTAATAAATTGGTACAGTGAAGGCGGTGACAAAATGATTGAAGTTGCATCTCTTGCCTTGTAAGAATTCAATTTTTATACCAATTTTCTTTTTGGATTTCATTTTCAAAGAATACGTGAAATAGTGTCTAGACCAAAAATTTGCATTTTTTGATATCTACAGGCCTGATAAAAACCCGATTTAAATCGGTTTCCCGATTTTTTTTATTTTTCCCGATTTTTTCCCGATTTTTTTTTCTTACCGATTTAAAAAAAAAAAAAAAAAAAAAAAAATTTTTTTTTTTTTTTTTTTTTTTTTTTTTTTTCAATTTTTTTTTTCCCTTCCCTATTTTATCCTGATTTTCCCGATTCCTCCCTTATTTTCTATATTCATCCCTATTTTGCCCTATTTTTTTCCCCAATTTTCTTACTCGAAAGGGGGGAATGTTGTTGGATGCCATTTTTTCCCCGCGAATCCTCTTTTTTTTTTTTACTCAAGGGGGGCGTGGTTGAGGGGAAAACAAAAAACCTATTTTTTTTTTAGTGCTCACTATCACCCCTGTATCTATTTAAGATTTAGAGCGAACTTCTTTGGCATGGCCAAAAAACCTTGGCCTAATTAGGATCAAAGGGGTAACACTTCCTGTCAATGCGATATTCACTACCTGGTTAAAATTTCTGAGAAAAAAAAAATTGGGCTATATAAGGAATGCATGAGGCATTAATACATTCTTGGGACTGCCTTTGTCCTAGTGTATTACTTCTACACAGTATCAGGTATGTTTTAAATGCACACACAGTGATGAATATCGACTTGCCTTGTGAACAGCAGTTACCAGTTAAACAGATTTAGAAACTCCAAAACAGAAACCTTCAAATGAAAACGTGCAAAGCTTCTGGTTAAGGAATGCCGAGTTATGATGAAAATGTTTATTATGTCTGAACAAGATATACTGTACCTTCACAGTCAGGAATGTGGATCTGAATTTCTTAGAAGTCAATATCTTTGTCCTTCAACGGTTGACATTTCTATATTACATGTAGGCAATTTCATGTCATTAAACCTTTAACCCCACCCTGAATCGTAAATTACTTGTCAAGAAATTACTAGTCAAGAAAATATATGGCATATATCGTAGTGGCAATACATACATACTGTGCCTGCCAACTGGAATTGACAGTAATTATTAATCATTTTAGCCTTCAAAAATTTACAGTGGAAAAATACCGTATGTAATGAATAAAAACACTTTATGTACTTCAATGGAAAATGTACCATTCTACATTTCCACCAGGAATATTAGGAATTCATACAGATTCATGTTGGCAGCTCTGCATATCCTTCAACAACAAATATAGATTCAGAACAAGTTATGAAGTGTAATTTAGAGTTTTCTTCTCAAATTTCAATTTATAGATGATCAGAGCAGTATTCCAGATAGCAGTGATGTAGGGAACATATCCGGGGATGAAGAGGATCTGTTACACGATGACGATGATCTGTTACACGATGACGATGATCTGTTACACGGTGACGATAGTGAGGGAGAGTCCACTGACAATGAACCTGATGGAGATGTTCCTCTGTTTGAGAACTGCAATGAGCCTCTTTTCAATGGGACACAAACGACAAAGGCTGAGGCAATTTTGATGATATTATCATTTGTGATGAGACACTGTCTCTCATCCATAGCTGCAATCCAACTTTGTGAACTTATCAACACTTTGTTTGGTCGAGCAATTTTCACATCTGTTGACAGGATTTTCAAAAAAGTATTCTCAAACCAAGTATTAAAATTAACCTTTCATTTTTATTGTGTCTCATGCTATGCCTATGTGAAGTCGTACAATGTGCTTACAGAAGACAATCTGTTATGTCCACACTGCACTCACCCTTGTGCTGTGAATAATTTGTGCCATGAAAATTTCTTCATTACCGCAGACCTACCCACACAAGTAAAGTCACTTTTTGAGAGACCAGATATAACGGCACATCTTTCATATCGGAGAAATAGGGATAAATTGTCCCCTGAAAACATTGAAGATATATATGATGGAGATATTTATAAGAATATGATGGCTGATGAAGAAGTATTAGGCAATGACAATAATTTTTCATATTCTTTCAACACCGATGGATTTCCTGTATTTAAGTCTTCCCGATTTTCTATGTGGCCAATTTTCTTAATGATAAACGAATTACCTCCTAAGCTCAGACATAATAACTTATTACTTGCAGGTGTCTGGTGTGGAAAGAGTGAACCGAAAATGGAGGTTTTCTTAGAGCAATTTGTAAAGAAAGCAAAAGGATTGGCTGAAGAGGGTGTTTCTTGGAAAAGAGGTGATGATGAAGTCCGAAGTAAACTCTTTGGCCTTTGTTGTTGTGCTGATGCCCCTGCACGTTCCTCCATGCAAAACACAATTAGGTTTAATGGTTACTATGGCTGTTCTCTGTGCTATCACCCAGGAAAAGTAGTTGAACGTACTGTTAAATATCCCATTGATGTATGTGAATATAATGATCGCACGGATGATGAAATGTTGCAAGACATGGCTCTGTCAATGGAGGAGAATAGACCCGTTAAGGGAGTGAAAGGACCCAGTCCATTGATTAATCTTCCACAATTTCCTATTTGTTGGGGCTTTCCTGTGGATTTTATGCACTGTCTTTTACTAGGGGTAACTCGTCAGCTTGCTGAATTGTGGTTTACATGTGCAACAAATCCTTTCTATATTGGTTCGGTCAGACTGATGTCAGTCTTTGATGAGCGTCTTAGGTCAATAAAGCCTCCAAATATAGTTGCCCGAGCTCCTCGTCCCATATCAGAGCGGAAAAGCTGGAAAGCATCAGAGTGGTACTCCTGGCTACTTATCTACAGTCTTCCGTGTTTGAATGGTATTTTACCCCGTGAATACTGGTTGCATTTCCTCCTCTTGGTCCAGGCTTCATATCTGTTACTACAGAAGTCAATAACATTGGAAGACTTGCATCAAAGTGACTTGTTGCTTCTTGAGTTTGTTGGCAAGTGTCAGATTTTATACGGAGCAGGTGTCATGACATTCAATATTCACTCATTAACTCATCTAGCAAAGTGTGTTCAACTCTGGGGCCCACTCTGGACGCATTCTTGTTTCCCCTTTGAAGCTGCAAATTTTAGAATCAAGAGGCAGCTTAAAGGAAACACTGGATATGTAATGCAGGCAGTGAGAAAATTTTTGTTTATTCATTCGCTTCCAGGTTTGATTTCAAAGATGGAAGTGTCTTGTCAACTCCTTAGGTATTTTGATATGGTCTCTCCTGTCTTAATTTCCCATGGTTATAATGATGTCAGAGTTTTGGGAAATGGACACACTCGGCATTTGAATGATATTGAATATGAAGCCCTTCAAGCACTTGGTATTCAAATTTATGAAAATGAAGCAGTTACTGTTTATAACAGGATAAAGGTCAGGGGACTTTTTTTTTTGTTCTTCTTCATATCGAGCTGAGACTATGAAAAGAAATAATACATTAGTTGCTTTTGTAGATGGAAGGGTGGGCAAATTAGAAAATATTGTGGAAATCAACAATTCTTATTTCATGATGGTGCATTTACTTAACTTGAATAACCTTGACACTTTTTATGATCAAAATGCAGATGTTCAGATTACTCACATCAAGATTTGTAATGGAGAGGATGCCAATGTAACTGCAATACCTATTGTGGATGTATATGCTAACCGTGTCGAAGTGATTATCGATGATCATAGATACATCAGCGAGTTACCTAACTATGTGGCCTTGAACTGACATGATGTAGTTTAATGGGCGCCCATCAAATAATCAAATTTGGGAAGTGAATTAACATGGGCCTTCGCTTTAGTGATTTACATGTTTTTTTATTTTTGATAACATCACTCATGGGATCAAAAAATAGTAGATGTCACGTACGATGAGTACAGAATTAGTTCCCACACTGCCCAGCCAACATCATTGTACCCCTTAGCCTTCTGTGCTAATAGCACTGGGGAGTCTTATGGTTGGCTGTACAATGTGAACTGTTCCACTACACGCCAGTTTTTAAATCTACCCCTTTTCACATTGTGAATGATGTAAAGAAAAATCAAAACATGTACATGTAAATGACTAAGCTTACTGTGTTCTACCTCCCAAGATTATTTCCAGGTGACCGGATCCCTTCAAGGGACAATACAAGTGTACTTTTTTTGTGACATTCACAATGAGCTGATGGGCTAAAAGGTTGTAAAGTTTATCTACATTTAATGCATTCAGATGGTTCATTTCACTGATCGTAAGCTGATGGGCTAAAAGGTTGTAAAGTTTATCTACATTTAATGCATTCAGATGGTTCATTTCACTGATAGTGAAAGATGTTTTATTTGTTCAAATGGTTGTCATTTGCATCACTGAATGCTTCATTAAAGGGACTGGGTAACATTGTAAAGATGAGAGAAAATGGTGCCAAGGTAGTGACTTCAATGCTAGATGTACAATTAAAGATAATATGAAAGTTTGAGTGAAAACAGACCCATTATTAACGATATAAAATGAAGAATAAAAACTGATCTGATTGAATTCTCCCAACTATATTATTACAATTTAATAACAAATTGTACATCGTCACAAAGCAATGAATTGGCTCTATATACCATTCCAGATATTTAAGTGTTGAAAGATTTTTAAAAGTCTGTTTTTTTGTCTCATTTTCATGTAAAAACAGTGGGGAAAATTCTGAAATGATTGGGAGAATTTACTGTCAATCACTGTTACAGGGTGTTGACCAGTGACGCCTTCTTAGAAAATCATTAATATCTTTGTGGTTTAAAAAAAAAAAATCAGGATATTTTGCATGTTACAGTACAGTAGAAGGAAGATAATAAATATTTTACTTCATAATTCTCATTCGAGAATATATGAACTTGTATATTGTACCAGTGCAACTAACTACTGTCCATCAAATTACATGTATGTTGCTTTATGCATCTACACCTCAAGGCCAGAGTAAGGTGGTATGTCCTGAATTTCTTTGTATTTGTTTAAAGGCAAACTTTGGTAATGGGAGGGATGAAAATGACCTTGTTTTCAAGATTTCCCATTAGATCCCAGAATAGTTCATATCGTATTCTTGTTCAATGAAATCCTGTTCAGTGATTGGTCAACATAGCATCATGTGACCAAACATAACATTGCTATGATGTAACTCATGTAATTCATCCATGGATGACGTCATATATATGCGATAGATGATGATTAATGTGCTTTCGGTCACGGTTGCGGTCGTCTATACACTACTTCAGTAACAGTAAACATTAGTATTATTATTTTTATGAAGGTTGGTTTGAAAAACAAAAAACAAATATATCATGCACTATTTCAAGCCACTTGTGAAATTATGGATTCCTCGGCAACAGAAATGAGCACTATTCCTGCGACCTTGATCCATAATTTCAACTAGAGCCTCTCAGTGCATGGTATAGTTGTCTTAAAAATGCTAAACAGTAGGGGCACACCAAATTTCATTTTTATGCATTCATTATTCACTGAAAACTGTTCCTTACTCTGGAAATCTTACAACTCATTGGTAAATGTTGAGGCCTACCAACTAGTGTAGGTGTTCACTATTTAGTGGGTAAACAAGTTGGACAATCGCATGTAATGAATTTGAATAATGTTTCTATTCTGCATGAAATACAGTGTTCATGTGCAATAATATGTGCAGGCTTTAATCGTTAAATCGATCAGTAATAAAATATTGATTTCATTCAATAATACATTTCATGTATTAATTTTGTTTTTGTTGTGCAAGGTGTATTGTACAGTAATATTTGTATTCAACATGTTTTGATCGGACCAATTGGCCCCATTAGACTTCAATGAGATTTCAATGGGTCCCATTAGATTTCAATTGGTTTCAATTGGCCCCATTAGACTTCAATGAGATTTCAATGGGTCCCATTAGATTTCAATTGGTTTCAATGGGTCCCATTAGATTTCAATTGGTTTCAATTGGCCCCATTAGACTTCAATGAGATTTCAATGGGTCCCATTAGATTTCAATTGGCCCCATTGGCCCCATTAGATTTTACAAGAATTTCAATTGGTTTCAATGGGACCAACTGTGCCTGGCCAATTGGTCCAATTGAAACCAATTGAGGTCCCATTGAAGTCTAATGGGGCCTAGGCCAATTTGGCCAATTGGTCGAATAGGGTCAATTGGTCCAATTGAAACCAATTGAGGTCCCATTGAAGTCTAATGGGGCCTAGGCCAATTGGGCCAATAGGTCCAATGGGGCCAATCTGGACCAATTGAAACCAACTGAAGTCCCATTAGACTTTTGATTTTGACCAATTGAAACCTATTGAGACCAATTAAAACCAATTGGAACCAATTGAAACCAATTGAAAATTCAATTGGTGTTCAATTGGTTTCAATTGGTTTTTCGTCTTGGGGGTCTGAAGCTTCACCACTGTTTCACCATACTGGCCATTTGCATAGTTCAAGCTTCACCACTGTTTCACCTAAGCCTGAGTCATTACGGTTTTTGTGCTAAACGGTTAACCGTTAAAAGTATACGGGCGGTTTCGTTTAACCGTTTAATAATAATCTGAAAAAGTGAAAATACAGTATTTTTAATAGTGCTGTAGCTCGGAACCCTGCTGGTCTTCAGACTGTCGGGCTGAGCATTCCCAGCCCCGGACTATGGCACAAATTGGGTCATCCTGATAAACAGAGACCAGTAATAAACAACATAAAACATGTCTTATTATTCCTCATCTGAATTTGATATCATGATTAACCTTGCAAAGTTACTCTGTGAAGATAGCTGATCTGTGACATGTTTATATATGCCTTTGCAATGCAATGTTTGCACATGGTCAGGGAGAGAGCTCCCTGCATGTATCATTGCCATATGAAATTATGTGGAAGTGTGTATCACACACACCCAAGACACACCCTGCAATGAGCTGATCCAAGTTAGTGACCAATCAGGAAGGTTCTCTAGCTATGTGGGTGGAGTTTGATACCAGCATAAATTACAGGTTGGTGACCGCGCGTGCTTTCACCGTACCCAGTTCAGTGGGAGGTCAAGAAGCCACGCCCACATGTGTGCATGTGACAAGCATGAGCTCTCCATCTGTGTGTATGTACAGTGTATTTGGGCGCCGGAGGTTTGTGTGTACATGTGTGTGTGACTGAGAGAGCATGCATATGGGCTAGCATGTCCCTGCATGTCCCTAGCATGGACGAGGCAGGGACATGAGTGAAGATCGAAGTAAGAAAGGGTGGCTGTGTTAATCGGCTGAATTGAAGAATGATCAAAAACTTAAATTACTCACAAATAATATCCAAGACTTTGTTGATTGATATTTCTAAAACTTCAATTATTATTGTTATCAATATTTTTGTATTTTATTTATATATGAACATTATTTTAGGGGGCGAGTCGGCAAGGGATGGATATTAATATTGAAAGAGAGAGAGAGAGACTCGGGGGAGAAGGGATGTGAGAGGAACTGACCATCGAATGTGTAAACATTTAGAAAGTTGTGAGCTGAGAGTGCAGTAATAAGAAAAGGTACATGAGCGATGAACACATTGCAGAGAGAAGGGAATAAAGAGGGTGAGAAAAGAGAGAAGGGGGCTGGTTGTTTTATTGTTTACAAATTCATTCATGGGGATAACTGCTGCCAGAAAGCTAGCGCGCAGCGGCCAGGGTGTAATATTACACTGCGGTTTCTTTGATTATCTTTATCATCGGCTATTAGCACATTCCAAAATGTATGCAAATAACGGTTAACCGGAGCGAGAAATGCTAAACGGTTTTGATGAATCATGCGAGTGCATAAGTGACCGGAATAAAAATTAAATAGTTGTTTTGAAACGCACGATTTCGACATGATTTCGACATATTTTCGACGCGACCGGTAGTGGCTTCATTCGATGTCACATCACCTGAACAAACAAGGCGACCGATTGGATTCGATGTCACATCACCAGAAAAAACAAATTACTCGTCAAAGCTTCACACATTTCATCAATTTGTATAGTAAAGCTTCACCCAATGAAGAAAAACGAACGTTAGGACTTCACTACAACAACAAATAGGTCAGGGTCAGGCTTAGGCGTCGAGACGACGTCGATATTTGGCGACCTCTGAGGAGGGTGGGTCCAGGCCACAGAGTGACCCTTGCATTAATCTACAATTGCCACACTACACCCAGGTGAGGTAAATGGGTACCTGGCAGGAATTAGTTCTTTGAAATACTTGAGCGCCAAAACGGCAGCCGTGCTAAAGACGGTAATAATACTGGAGCGCCAGGATTGGCAATGTGCCAGACATGAGTGCTTTACAAGACTCCACTATAATTATTATTATTAATTTGATACATTAGCTATCATCAGAATGTCATACAATGTAAAGTATAGCCTCAAACACTGAATGTACTTCATGCTATAATGGTAGGATATTCAGATGATCCATTTTTTTTTCTTTAAACAAATTTCACTTAAAATCCCTCATTTCTCTTCTTATTTGTGATTCTAGGTCCAATGGGAGCCTGACTTTGAACCTTATGTGGTTGTCAAGAAGGACTGTCCCAAGTATGATCCTCGGTTCCTGGGCTTTGGTTGGAACAAAGTCTCCCATGTAATGACACTGGATGCCCAAAGGTGAGTGTCGCATCCATCAGGTCAAATGTCAAAGGTCATGGATTTCAATTGCTTTTGTTAGAACAGTGACAGAAAGTAGATACAAGCTTTGAGCTACAGTATCAGACTGAAACTAAGTATGACCTTTAGTTCTTGGCCTTAGGATACATTATAGAAGCTAATGTCTAAAGATAAGTCTCACATCCTTCAGGTCAAAGGTCAGGTATCTGAATAAAATTTGAATTATGACATCAGCTTTACAGCGTGAGAAGAAATTTGGACCTAACATAATCCTCGGTTCCTGGGCTTTGGTTGGAACAAAGTCTCGCATGTAATGACACTGGATGCCCAAAGGTAAGATTCAAATCCATCAGGTCAAAGGTCAAAGTTCACAACAGTGTTAACTTCTGCCTTTGTTTCCTAGTAAAAAAGAGAAATAAAATTAGCCTCATATCTTTCAGCTCAAATGTCATTGGAACAATCTATCATTGTTAGTTTAAATATATCCCATGACAAAAATATTTACAAGTGGATATTACACACAAGAAAATCCAAAAGAAATATTGTTGGTAAGTTTGAATGAAAAAAAAGAAGAGATATCTTCATATGACTTGTTAGTTGACATGTACATTGCATTAAATCATTCCTAATTGCTATTATTGATTGATTTCTTTCTTTGTAACTCATCTCTATTTTGCAGCTATGATTTTATTGTGCTTCCCAACGCTTTCATCATCCACATGCCACATACACCCAGCTTCGACATTGCCAAATTCAGGAGCAGTCAACAGTACCGAACGTAAGTATAAATAACAATCAGTGTCGATATCTAGTATTGAGAAGGAACTGATAAATAACATTACAAACATCAATGAAAGGAATTACTGTACAAGAATGTCAGAGTGGTCTACAAACTAAAATTCAGATATCCAACTTAATATGCATTCCAACTGCTATATGCAAAGCTCAAAGTATTTTGAGGCCATTTAGCCAGGGTCCAAGGGTTCAGGGCTTGTTTAAGGGCTCTAATGTTTGAAGATGCTCTCTGGTGCAATCTGAACCATATTTTGAAGCGTTTTTAAATAAATTTTACAACTAATATTTCATAAGCACTTTTAGTTGAGAATGAATTTTACCTGTCACTGAATTTAAAACTTGTAGTATCAAAATTCAAAACTGTCGCTGTTACATGTATGGACCGCCCCAGGAATATTTAGAGTATTGAACATTCAGTTTAAGTCTTATTTGATGCTGTGAGAAATTTTGTTTTGTTTGTTCCAAATATTTAAGATTACATCTAATGAAATGTTGAATATCAAAGATGAAGAGGCCTCGTGGTCCACTGGATAAGTCCACTGTGGACTACAAGGTACATGATTCAAATCTGTGCCAAAGCACTAATGTCCTATAGCAAGGCATTAATCTACTTTCCACTGTCAATTCAGGTGAGAGAATTGCTTACATGACCTTATCATGGCGGCTCAGCTAAAGCTGGGGTAATAATATGACACTTTTTATTAAGCGCAGTAGAGTAGCTGCTCTATATAAATGCATCTATTGTTATTAATTCTTTCTAGTTCAAACTCCAGTTATGAGATACAGAGTAATGCTATTGTTTTTGTTTTGTATTCTTTGTCTTCTGTAGGTGCCTGCAAACTTTAAAGGAGGAGTTCCAGAGAGATATGTCGAAAACATACGGCTTTGCCGCTTTGAAATACGTTGCAGTGGAAACATGACAGCGTACACTGTGACAATCATAGCTACGCCCCCATCTCTTTGAATGGTATGAACCAGAAACTTTTGAATATAGTATGGAAGACTTGATACACTACCTTGAGTACTAGTGAGGCTTTTGGAAACAAGTGGAGCTCATGGCACGATGACCTGCGTTTGCCAAGAATGGAAGCATTTGTCCTTGAACCAAGCTGATATTCTGATGATGAATGTAGGTACATGTAGCTGCAGCTCCTGATAACAAAGGCAAAGGAGATTGACAGTGTTGGTCTCGCAGGCCTTCTGGAAGGTTATCAAAGTTCACAAAGCTGATGGCCCATGAGACAAAGAGCTCTTTAGCCTTAGCCTACGGGCGGACGAGGTTGGTGCCGTGGGCCTTCAGGAGACCTACAGGAAGCCTTTGAGATCGACAACCCACTAGAATGACAGGATCAAACTCACAGCCTTCCGAAAGTTTTGGAAAGGTTGACAAGACTGGCCCATGAGACGAAGAGTCCTTGAGCCCTAGCCTATGGTTTGTGCCATGGGCCTTCTTAAAAGTCATTAGAATGTCCAGGAGACCTACAAGAAACCTTTGAGATGGACAACCCACTAGAATGACAGTGTCAATCTCACAGCCCTCCAAAATTTTTCGGAAGGTTTACAAGACTGATGGCTCACTAGACCAACAGCCAATGAGACTGATCTGTCAGTCTAGGATGTCTTCTGAAAACTTTTCTGAGGGTTCACTTGACCGATATTGCAGGCCTTGTGGGCTGTCGGTCTATAGGGATGTCCAGGGTTTTTTTCACAAAGACTAAGATCGACTCTAAGTTGGACTTAACTTTGGCAGGCCGTTCATGCCAAATGTTTTCTCTCACCATTTACTGGCATTGGTTTCTCAAGGGGCGTACAAATCATGGTAACAAAGAGGAAGCCCTCGTAGACATATCTGTTCTTAATGGTCACTGGTGATGAGAACCTGGGCCCTGTTTCATAAAACTTGTTATCAATAACAAGTTACAAGCTACTGTTATAAGCTACTGAAATCATGGCATCTGATTGGCTGAGAGCAAATTTGTCATAACAATTTCGCAGTTCTCATAGATAAAAAGTTTTATCAAACAAGCCCCTGCTCTGGCCGGCCTTGGTGGGTGAAGGAATTTCCAACTTCATCACATGCGTCTAGACTTTGGTTAAAAGCTTATTTATTGCATTTCTTATGTTAAAAGGCATTATGTTAGAAGAATTATGTATTATGGGGTTCAGGAATCATTAAAATTTGGATAAAAACATATTTTGGGCATTTTGTATGTTAAAAAGCTTTACAAGATATGTTTAAAGAATTTTGTATTATGGGGTTCCGGAATCGTTCATATTGCAACAAATGGACTAAAAACTTGCTGAATAACGCAACTTCATGTACATATATGAAAAGCATCGGACACAGATAGGGGTACACGGGACTGTACAATAATGTGTGCTCTGATTTTCTTCACCTTTGAAGTTCTGTATAAAGTGAATCCTTTATGTGTTCAAGGTCAAACACTCATCGGGTGCAGATTCTATGTACATGTGAACAGAGTCCAAACTTCCCAACTATTTCTAGTCGTACTTCAAGCCCCTATCATTCAGGGATTCACAAAATTTATCTGTCGCAGCAAAGTGTGTTTATGGAAGTAGTTGCAAAAAGTCCAGAAAATTGACCCCCCCCCCCCCCTCAAGCCACCAAGTGTCACGCATTTGAGGGTCTTAAAACACTCTCACGCACATGCACGATTTCGAAAAACGCTATACATACCGGTACGTTATACCCTTGTTCGCGAGTCGAATCATGAAAATATCACGCATAGCTGATCTTTGAACTTGGCGTCTTCCCCCCCCCCCCCCCCCCCCCCCCCCCACGTTGTACACAACAAATGGGGTGAATAAAACACTGCCAGTTGCAATATTCAAAAAGAAAATTGACCATAGTTTTGCTAATGATAAATATTTTGCCACCATACTTTTAGGAAAGTGTTTATCAGGATTATTTACAATGCCTGGCCCTTTTACAAGTTTTGAGATTTTCACCTTGTAAATCACTGCAATGCCCTGTAAGGAATTGAGAGCACTTAAACAATTCGATTCAACAGACATTTATACTATGATATTTTTGCATGTACAAATGGAAATATTGAGAAAGATTTGAAATTATGTTCATTTTTACCAGGATTTTAACATTTTATTTAACATTATTTAAGGGGTTTTATGGAAACTTTCTTTCATAAATTTCTTTCTTGTTTTGTCTTTAAATTACAAATGCTATTCATACCACCAGAAATGAGGGAAACTTACTCATGAAGAAGCAAGTAAATAATGAGAAAATATTTATTGTATTTAATTGATGTACACTTGTAAATATATATTTTTGATGCAATAATGTGATCATACAGAGGTATGATTTGAAACATATCAGAAGGCGTAGAATAGAATCGCTTACTTTTTTTATCCCATGAATTTTGTGCATATTTATAAACATGTGCATTACATGTATATTGATTTGTTAGAAAGGGCAAAATTGTTCTTTAAAGATATAATTGAGTTCTGGTTAGTTAGAAAATAATTCTCACAGAATCCACAAAAACTTGAACTGAATGTTCAAGATTACAATAAATGACATGTGCCAAACAATTTTGATAGAAAATGTATAGTGGCTGAGTAATGAGCATATAAAGATAAGGAACTGGGGGTAAGTAGGCCTGCCACCATGTGCTTAACACAGGTCACTACACGCAAATGGGAGTTGTGGTTTTTATCGAATACGATTCCCATATCAGAGCTCCAGATTAGCTTGAAATGATGGCAGGTTTAAGACATTAAGAGACTAGAAAATGAAGCAAAAGGGAATTAAGAAGATGGAAAAAGTAATGAATTAAGTCATTTGTAACTATTCATTCATTAAAAACCTATGTCATGTTTTTATTAGATATTTATAACAAAAAGACCTGTAATTTTTTTCGATTTATTCACTTTTCGTAAGTGAAATTATGTTTTGTAAGTGAAATGCTTGCTTCAATTACTATTGATAAACAAAATAAGTTTGAAACAGATGGGCAACTTTTGTTAATTCATTTAGTTTTATTTTTTATTATGTCCATTTTTTTTAGAGTACTTATTTCCCAGATTTTATGTTCACCTTCAATAGACCAGGTTAGCACATTACTGCAATGACCCCGAATATCCACAGATCTTCAAAACATGAAGAGGTCCCACTTTGTACATTTTGAAATAATCACTCCTACAGCGATGGAGGTGCTATATAAATAGCCTTTGTTTCCACTTTTCAAAGAATACTTCCACCTGTGTATCATGGAGTGCACTGAATGTGCATGAATGAATAACGATTACATAACTTTCATGAGCACGTATCCAGTATTTTGTCTCCGTGTATTTCACAACTTAGTCTGCAATGACCTTTATCTGCTCATGCTCAGACTGCAACCGTGAACTGGCTGATTGTTTTTGTCCTCTATGTTTAGATATTCAATGAATGATTTTTATTTTAGTAGCCATAAGCCTACAAAGATACGCAAGGAAATTCGTTAAACTCACCTCAATAATCATGGTGACTAGATTAATCACTGAAATAGATTTCTGTGTATTTATTATTTGATTCTTTTTTTTTTATCAACAACAATTCTTTTCTTCTAAATGTAATGTAGATAAATAGAAAACTTCAGCCTGATTTCATGTTGTGGAAGATTTGTTTTCCTTACCATATTTCAAAGTCAATAAGTTCAAATTATAGCTATGGTCTATACAAAGTTAGTATTCACTGTGTGTGCTTCAGTTAAACAGATACAGTTCATGAGAATGTTCTGAACCATGTTCCATGCGTTCCCCCTAAATGTATGCATTTTTGTTATTTCGTTGATATGCATTTAGGCTATAGTTTCTTTCATGAATTCTTTTACTCATTTTGTATCTTCTACACATTTTCATTTGGTGCTAATTAATTTACTCTTTTGACTCAACTGATTATGTTTTGTTATGTTTCCTGAAGAATGTATTTTTCTTCAAAGTTGGCAATTATGTGTGGTTATTTTACTTCTATGTTATATTTATATTTATACTTAGACAAGGCTACGTGTAGATGTGTAGCTATTATTATCTGCAGACAGAGAGTCAGAAGGCTACTAGCTCTGTGTTAACCCTTTCGGAAAAGGATTCATGTAAATTACTAACTTGATCCCAGATTGTTCTTGAAATTGGCAACACGATATTTATCTTTAACCGTATTGCTACATTGTTGTAATAAAAATGAATGTCTCTGAAAACAAAAACATGAATAAGAACTTGGTTAAAAAGTTGAAAAAAATTGCAAATTTTAATTGAAATACAATCAATCCTGTCTATAGTGACCGCCCAAGGGAAACACAAAAAGTGGTGTTTGTAGACAGGTTCCTTTAGTACATATTTCAATGAGGAACCATTTTCAAGGGTGAACAAATAATGTGCTCTTTGTAGACAGGTGGTCACTAAAGCAGGTTTGACTGTACAATGATTTTAACCTTTTAACATGTTGCCATTTTAAGGATTTTAAGGCTTATTTTCTCTTATAAAATTACTTGCGTCAAGCTCAATATGGTCACGCAACAAAAGAGATGTAGATATGTGCAAAAATTGATGCCCTTTCTATTCATGCCTCTGGGCCCCGTTTCACAAAGCCTTTTTTCAACGACAAATGACAAAAATCAGTGACTAATCTCTTGATAACCAATCAAAAGCAAGGATTTCACTAGCTTTTAACAAACACTGTCATTTGTCACTGATGACAAGTTTTGTGAAATGGGGCCTGGTATGTTCTTTTATGGTTCTGATTCAAAAGTTATTAAGCCACTAAAACCACAAAATATGTGTTGATTTTCTTGAAATTGTTGATGTACGAGTTAGCAGTCTTCTAAGCAGGTGATGTCATACTTTTTTCTCAGTATTATTTGCTTCCTTTTCACTATGGTTAATAGAGGAACAAATAAAATAGGAAAATAACCAATTTTTAGTTAAGTTTTGTGCAGTATCCTTCCATTTTACTTCTCAAGTGGATATCAGAAAGAAGAGAGAGAGAGAGAGAGAGAGAGAGAGGGGGGGGGGGGGGGGGTCGGGAGTGCTGGAGAGGGAAAAAGGGATAGACAGAAGATCGAGAGACAGAAAGAGCTAGAACTACAAACTAAAAAAACTATTTAATAGGTTTAATACAATAGAACAGCAACTGATTATCAAATTATAAAAAGACATGTTTAGCTAATATTCAGACCTGTGTCCTGTATACTATGCACAAGAAAACGGCTAAACGGTGCCCCCCCCCCCCCTCGCAATTCTAACTAAGGACCAAAAGCAAAAGGCATCTTTATTTTCGTTTTACTTCTTTCTCTCTTTTTTTTAATTCTCACCTATAACTTAAGTTCAACTGTTATTGCATACTGCCGGTTCCTTTGTTGTACACAGCACACTGTATTGAATGTAAATATGTTGCTTGCAGACGACGAAATTGGCGCGACGTGAAAATTGCTAAATTCCTGCGATATCGATCGATGATGATGCAAATCGAGTTGCAATTGGATATTTTCATTCATTTTACGAAGTTTCAGCTGTCAAGAATCAGACTCGAATCGGTAAGTGTAACCATTTAACACAAACTTTAAACTACTTTTACATCTACTTTAGATGTAAGGGTGATACAAATTGATGGAATGCTGTTTACATGATATGAATTATGATTGTGTTTGGTGTGTGGATGAGACAGGAAAAGATTAATTGCAGTGGTGTTTGTCTTCTCTCGTCGAGATCATCTAGGCTAGTCAACTGCGCTCGGGCTAGCCTGTGGACTGCGCGGCGCGGCCACAGGCTAGGCACAGCTAGCTAGCTAGCCGAGCTCAGCTCCGTGCGCGGGCTCTGCCTTGGCTTTGCCACTTGACTTAGTTGTAGATCTACTGTTGCAAGCCTGTATTTTTATTTTGTGTGACTGATTGTTTGTCTGTGCATAACACAGAGTCAATTATACAATTTCTAGAGTGTACGCATAGATCGACTTTACTTTGTTTTTTCCGTGGGTGTGTATTTACTGGGGTGTCTGATCGATCGCGCACCCGATTCTGTGTGAAATCTTTCCCATAGAGATTGCATGCATCCCTATGCAGTCTACGTGCTTTGCGCGACCATGCAAAATTGGTCAATTTTTTTTTTCTTCTTCAAGTCGAGATTCAAACCTAAGTTTATTCTTTGTGATCCTGAAGGTGATACTCAATAAATGAGGTGTCATATGAAAGAGCAGGTGAATCTCCATATTTTCAAAGGGGCTGCATCTCAGAATTCTAAAAATATCTTGGTCAAAACGGCGATTTAAACATTGTCATTGACTCTTTGAGTGATTTCAGGTTCGGTGTTGAAAGCTGGTGTTGGTGTTGTGAGAACACCAACACCAGCCACAACACCGAACTTGAAATCAGGCTGGTGTTGGGATTGACCTCGGGAAATATGACGTAGACCCCTCTAGACTATTTCCGGAAGTCTTTGTTGAGGGCTGGTGTTGAATGTCGTCTGCTGAACCGAGTATCGCGGTTGGTGTTGACGATTTACGTGTAATTTTCCCATTCACCAACACCAGCCCCTAGGGATTGGGAAATTCATGATTTCAAGTTCGGTGCTGGTGTTGGTGTTGCAGTAACTATGCAGGTAACTATGCGGACATCTGGCACGAATCTCACGATCATGCCAAGGTAAAAATCCATTTTAAAGTCAAAACAGAAGTAAATCCTGGGAGCTACATCTAGGGTGTCTGAACGATTTTTCAATTTTCAATTTGGGATCGTTTTTCACCATTTTTGTTTGATATTTGAATAAAAAATGATATCAGAATAATACATTTCAAATTTCAAGTCTCACCGATGTTTCTATCAAAAGTAACAGCCCCTCCAAAACGCTGGTATATTCATATCATTTTGGTCAAAATCGACGAAAAAGACGTCCACGCAGAGTGATGTTGTTTTGCTAAATTTAGCCAAACAGCTGTATCGCGCGATATGCAAGCGTATGCATATCGTACGCATGCTGCTAAGCCAATCCGCGACTTGCAGCTTGAGCTACGCTGTCTCCGCGACATGTGCCATTGACTAGTATGGTTGGCGTTCGTCGCACAAAAAACCCGGAAGTGAATGCACGTTATAGTCAATGGCAATATCGCGGAGATGTCTCCGCGATATTGCCATTGACTATAACGTGTATTCACTTCCGGGTTCTATGGCGGGAACTATGGAAAGCCGTTGGTGACTTTATTCACGTGCCCCAGACGTATGGAACGCGGCACACGTCTGCTAAATTGACCAATCACCGCCTGTTATTTAGCAGGCGCGTGCAAGGTGTGATAGCACACGCCTGTTACTTTATTAGCACACGTGTGCCTTTTTCCAGACGGATGCTGTTTACTGCGCATGCGTCTGGAATTGATCGACCAATCAGATACCTTGTTTAATATGGAGTTTAATGTGCGTGTACGGTGAGTGCATGCAGCGCAGACAAGCAAAAATGTACTGGGCACGTGGTGATCGACGCACGTGGTACTCTTACCCTTCTTAAAAGTATTGACTTTGATTTCTATGTCAGAAAAGATGTATACATTGTAAGAGTACTTCCATTGAGGTTGGAACTTTCTGATGCAAATTATAAACGAGGTGCCGAACTGCTATATGAAAGTTTATCCTCCACCTAGTATTGGAGTTTGTTAATACTATAAAGCTAGTCTAGGGTTGATAAAGAAAAGGTAAGTCTAATATCATGAATGGTAGTTTCCAGATTTACAATCCATCATTCAGAACCTACTCTAATTGCAAATTAGGTGATATACTATGCAACAGTGCCATTGTGATAATGTGTATGATCCAGTGTAGATATACAATGGAGTTAGTGTTGGAACAACAGAGTAGATCTCTCCCCCTCTTCCATCTCTCCTTTATCTCTCTTGGGTCACTCTGTACAGAGGTCACCTCACTCGTGGTAGGGGAACACACACACACACACACCTCCCTGCTCTCTCTTTCTCTCCCTTTCTTCCCCAATATTTTTGTTCATGTTGTGTTGTTGAGCAACACTCTCCATTGGGCTAGGACAGGGGGATTAGTGATAGGAGGCATGTTTGCTTATCAGATTAGAAGTTGGAAACACTGTGAAGAGTTTGCATTTGCTTGGCACAAGGGATTGTCTGACCATTATTATTTGGTAGTTTTCAATCGAATAAACCTGCTCATAATTATCCCATAGGCCTAATTGTATTTAAGGGTTGATGTTTGGATGTTGATTGGCTTATACCAGGGTATGTGAGTTAAACACCTCCCTGCTTATACTACAACATGTATTGCTGTATATTGCGCGGAAGTTTAGTTTAGTGGATGTTATCACATTTCTTAGAGACAATCAATTTTAGTCTATATTTCTTGTCTTGTATATAGTTTATGATTATTCCTTTATATTTCTATGTCATATGGGTAGTCGAAGCATAATAATAGTGCAATAATTATAGGTGAATCACATGCAGATTGCAGTATTGATTGATAAGCTCGTTTTCCTAAAACGATATTTACACCTGGAATATGTATGTGTTGTGTGCAGGGGCGTCTCCAAAGGGGGGGGGGGGGGGGGGGGGGGGTGGGGGTGGGGGGTGCCGACAAGTTTTTTTCCCTACGAACTGTGACTTTTTATCCGCTGTGACGACTTCGAGAGTAACTACAACTACTATACTTGTATTTTCTCGAAGTTTCGCTTTCCTATAATATCAGCTTAAGAAATCAGAGGTTTGAAATTTTCGGGGAAACTGAATTCAAACAAGGTTTATAAGAGTCAACAACGGTACAACGAATCGTCTTCTTTTCTCTATATTGTGATGAAACGCCAAAAATTCCGCCCTTCGCGCGGAAGGGGAGAAAACATCATTTAGACGAGTAGAGAACGGTACAACGAATCGTCTTCTTTCTCTAAAAATTTAAGGAAACGTCAAAGCTTCCGCGCTTCACGCGAGAGGGGGAAACTGAATTCAGACAAATATGGTTTATTAAGAGTCGAAAGCGGTACAACGAATCGTCTTCCTTTCTCTATATTGTGATGAAACGCCACAAATTCCGCGCTTCTCGCGGAAATAAAAACTTCATTTAGACGAGTCGAGAACAGTACAACGAATCGTCTTCTTTCTCTAATAATTTAATGAATCGTCAAAGCTTCCGCTTCGCGCTAAAGGGGGAAACTGAATTCAGACAAATAGGGCTTATTAAGAGTCGTCTTCTTTCTTTAATAATTTAATGAAACGTCAAAGCTTCCGCGCTTCGCGCGGGAGGAAACTGAATTCAGACGAGGATTAAGAGTCGAGCGCGGTACAATGAATCGTCTTCTTTCTCTAATAATTAAATGAAACGTCAAAGCTTCCGCGCTTCGCGCGGGTGGAAACTGAATTCAGACAAGGATTAAGAGTCGAGCACGGTTCAACGAATCGTCTACTTTCTCTAATAATTTAATGAAACGCCAAATCTTCAGAGCTTCGCGCGGGAGGGGGAGAACTGAATTTAGACAAGGATTAACAGTCGAGAACGGTACAATAAATCGTCTTCTTTTCCTAATAATTTGAGGAAATGTCTAAGCTTCCGCGCTTCGCGCGGGAGGCCTATCACCCACACCCCCGCGCTCTTTAAGTGATTCGCTTGCTCACTACCGCCCCTCCCTAAAATAAGATCCTAGCTCCGTGTCTGCATTAAAATATACAGCTATGAATGCTGACTAAGTTGACGAAATAATTCGTATATTTGTGTCGTCGTGGAAAATGACCATTTGCGCATACGCAAGTACTATAGATAGTCCATAGGAAAAACAATTTAGCCTTCGGCCCCGGGTTTATAGGGTTACATTTGTAGATATTGGAAATTAATTTTGTCGATAATTGGTGGCTAGTTTTGTCGGTAATCGTTGGCCTCTACACCCCCCCCCCCCCTCCCCCACTGAAAAAGGTCTAGCGACGCCCCTGATCACCATACTAGTATGAATATGATGTGTATAAGAACAAAACATATATAACATTATCTGTATGTAAGTGTTTATTCGATTTGATAATGAAACTGTTCTTATAATAATGTAGATGTTAGTTAAATAGGAACTCTGTAGGACCATGCATTATGGTTTAAGGCATGCCCACATAGAGAAATTTGTTATGTTAGGGGTCGGGGCCAAATGCAATGAATTATTGATAATTTATTGCATTTTCTTTGTGTTTTTTTTATTGGGCGGCGACGTACCCTAGCCCCGCTGTTTACTCGTACCAAGGGAATACTGCGGGGAGGGTGGACCGAATGGCGCAGATTGGTCGTAATGATTTTTTTTTTTTGGGGGGGGGGGGGGCAGGGGCTGGATGATGGGTCGCGTACATTATTGGGGCACGCCTTTTTTCTTTATTTGTTCAGAAATGTACGTTTTCAATAAATGTTTTCTACAAATATTCGGGGCCATGTGGCGTCATTCAGGCGCGGATCCAGGATTTCTTAGGGGGGGGGGGGGGGGGGGCCAAATTTGAAATCATGCGAGCCAAATATTGGTACGTAATGGTGATCAGCAGTGATGTACTAGGGGCGGGTACAGGGAC